CTGCACCCAGTTAATTAGAACCCACTCTAATATCTCAGAGCCTTCAGCCCATAGGTCAGAGTCAGAATCTTTGACACAGACAGGTAAGAGGTGGGCATAGATGGCATCCTTGGCATCTTGACTTAGAGACGTAAGAGGTAGCCACAGGTGGCAGGGTCTTGTTACTTTATTGGGGTCTTTTGTTTTCTGCTTTCTTTAAACTTGATGCATTTCTTTTTTCTGTTGCTTAAAAGTATTTATATTTGAATTTTTCAGTGTGGTGGCTAAGAACTATCATATTCTGGAAACAGGTCATCTGGGAAGAAAGCACACCTGAGACCTGCACAGGGGAACAATTTTATAAGATACTTAGAGACGGTTGGTGTTTATGCCAGCAAGGGAAGGAAAAAGTTAATAGATAGTAAGAAAAATAGAGAGGAGTGGGTTGAGGCAGGTCACCATTTTCCAGAATTGACAAGGTTTTAGGTAATAAACCAGTGCATTGGCATTGCATTTTTAAACATTTTCTTGTGTGTGTGTGAGGGCACGCATGACTGTGCCTGGTCATACTGTGGTGAAAGTGTGGCGGTCGGAGGACAACATGTAGGAGTTAGTTCTCTCCTACCACGTAGGTGCCAGGGATTGGACTGAGGTCATCAAGGCTTGGCAGCAAGGACCTTTACCCATTGAGTCCTCTCTCCAGCTCCACACTGACATTCTTGATTGGAAACAGGTTTAATTAATCATGGAGAAAGGATGTAGGATGCTCACGGTAAGACTTCACTTAGGACTTAAACTTTCATGAATAAATAGTAAGTATAATGAATCTTCAGTGGCTGAAGGAGAAAATCTCTCCATCTAAGGTGTGAATTGAGTTAGTTTTCCACCATGGTGGGCTGGGTAGTGTGCGGGTTTGGGTGGATTCTACCCTTCTGTCTCACAGTCTGTGTCAGTGCTGGTAATGTTATGGGTTATTTAATATTTACTATTGATTTATCCTTTACCTAGGCAGTGGTTATTCCTAAACAACTGTATAACCAAAACACCACACAGAGACTAGGATTTATTTAATTAACCTAGAGCACAATGCTGGGCAATAGTTACTCCATCCTAAATCTCCAAGCCTGCATAGTTTTCTACCATTCAGACTCACCCATTATAATTGCTTTTAGTGATATCTTAGATCGGTTCATTTCTCCAAGTGGTTCCAAGACCTCTCCTCCTGGTTCTTCTCCTCTCCTTCCTGCTTCCTTCCTCTTCCTCCCACTCTGGACCAGCATGTTCCACCCTATCCTCTCTATTGCTCAACGTTGTGGCTGGTTGTTTTAATTGACAATTTTTTAGAGAACAAATGGTGGCATGTTTACACAAACTTGAGACAGGTGATGATGAGAATAAGCATCACAATGCAATGTCCAGATTAAAACCAGAGAGTGGGGGAAAGAAATCAGCGTTTGAATGAACAAGGGTAAATTTTATACACTCTAAAAGAACATTATACCATCAGCCTTGATTAGATTGTATGGAGGCTAGAAGCTTCCAGGATTAGGCCTGGGTTAGCAGATGAGGGCAATAAACCTCTAAGATGACAATTAAATCCGGCGAATAAAAGATACTTCAAGAATTGAGTGTTAGCCACATCACAGAAAGTTTGCCTACTCTCGTGCTGATTTTGTAATTTTGCATTCTCCTATGGTTTTGTCATAGAAAATGCCAACCATGACATTTATTTTCTTTCTCCTCCAATTTTTTCTCTGCAGAATGACTTGCTCTTCTTAATGTTTTTTTTGTGTGTGATATTGACTCATCAGTTAAGAGGTTTTCTGGGCACTCACATCTTAGTTATAAAGCACAGCTTGAAGATACCAGGAAACTTTCAGCTGCTTTTCTTTATGCGCTGTTACTAGAAATAATGGGTTTTCCTGTCATAGGATGTTGAAATTACAGGTGAGCTCATGGTTATCTAGTTGTGGTTCCTGACACTGGAATGGAAGAAACAGAGGCACTGAGACGTGACATTGGTGACCTACTGTAACAGGGCAGTGTCATCAGTAGAATCAGGACCAGCGTTTATTTCTTGTTCGGACTCCACTGTGCTTCATCAGCCCTGTAATGCAGGGCTGTAATGCAGCTGTCACATCAGCTATGGACAGGCATGAAGCCTTGCAGACCTAGGTGCAGCCTAATGAACTGTATATAGTGAGCTCCCGACTGAAGTTTACAAGAAAAAATGGAAAGAGCTGCGCTTTTGTGTTAGTTTTGTTATAAAAGAACTTTGGAAGGAAAGCACATTTTACCTTTCTGGTTGTTGTTACTTTGTTCTTAAGTTTACAGTGACTAGTGTGTATGCATTGTGTAAATTAATGGGGTTTGTTATATTCATTCATTCATTCGTACACATACGCTTTTTACTTTCTAAGGCATTAATCGCAGTTATAATTTGACTCATAGGAAATGTAAGTGTATTTTGCTATCACTGGGAGGTTGGTTGATATTTTGAGTCAGGGTAGCAAATCTTTTGGTAATGCTACCTGCTTGATAAGGTGACATTATCCATTGGTTCTCTGCTGTGATTCACTTCTATTCTTCCATTTATTAGTTTGCTTTTTAAATTTTAATGTCTATTTAGTTTGGGTGTGTTTTTTCTGCATGTATTTCTGTGCCTGTTACCTGCAGAGGATAGAAGAGGGCATTGGATCCTTTGGAGCTGGAGTTACAATGTGAGCCTCCATGTGGGTGCTGGGAATTGAACCCAGGTTGTCTGGAAGAGCAGCCAGTGCTCTTAACTGCTCAGCTTTCTCTCTAGCCCTGCCATTTCTTGATATTTAAACCTATTCCTTTCCCTGAGTTTGATTCTCTGGTTTCATTCTTTCTTTTTTTTAAATCACTTTCATTCTTTTCCTCTTCAATACTTTTTAAACTTCTAAGCTCAATTAGATGTTCTGTGCATACACAGTATTCTTAAAAACATGTTATATGTTAAAATGCTATATGTTAATGGGAAATTTTCAATGTATCTACTTAATTTGCTCATTTATTTGAGGATTTTGTAAGTCTCAAATTTGCCGTACAAATCCTTTATATCCAAACTCAGATTCATATTCTCACCACTGAGTCTCACATGTGAGCTAAGTGCCTATGGATAGAAGTTTGGAGTTGTTAGGGAGAGCATGATCATATCTCATGATAAAGGAAGAATACAGACTTTAGGCCTTATGTGCAGAAAACACTAGGTCACCTATGTACAGGGCACTAGATCAGGTTGTAAGAGTCGTGGAATTGAGACTTCATTCTCTTACCTATTCTGACCAAAACCCTTCTCTTTTTCTTAGCAATAATGAGGTTCAACTAGATGGTCTAATTCTTTAAATATAAGAGTGAGATGCAGAGAGAGTTATATCTAGATTGGCAGGATGATGAAAACAACATACCCAGGGAGAAGGGCACAGGAGAAGATGAAGCCTAGATTTGTTATATTTGACATTTCATCATAATGAGATCCTTGAGCCAAGAGTTAGAGCTTGAACACCAGGCTGTTCCTGCTGTGTCCTGTCTCTGCTGTGTTCCTCAGATGAGGACCTCTGACCCTTTGTGTAGGAACAAAACTTGTGTTAGCGTGGCTGCATAATTGAGAAGAGGTTGGAGCATGAGAAAAGGTATGGTATATGAGGTCCTATAGAAATACACACCTGTGATGTTGTCAGTGGGGGCTAGGGTGCTGTCCTCTGCACAGGAAGTGTGATCAGTGACAAACTGTCCCCTTAAAGCTGGTGGACCACAGTGCTTTTCAGCAGTAGGTTTAACAATTAATTTGGATTAGGTCGAGTTAGAGAGTTTGGAACCTTTCGGCAGGCTGGTATGACTCCGGTTTTGTGTTGGAGGGCACCACCCATGAGCATCACTCCCCTCCCCCACCCCTTCTCTGTTATTGTCATTATCAGGCTCTCCTCAGTGCCTGTGCACTGCAGGGTCTCCTCAAAAGCATGCCTTCTGTTTCCATGTCGCTGACAGTGTCCTTGTGACATTCAACGAGAGAGCAGTTCTGATTTGGGTGAGAACTTTTCTTTGACCTTTGTGCACATGGGTGAAGCAGACCTTCGAGGAGGCGGATAAGAACGGCGATGGCCTGTTGAATATTGAAGAGATCCACCAGCTGATGCACAAGCTAAATGTCAATCTGCCTCGGAGAAAAGTCAGGCAAATGTTTCAGGTGTGTGTGCACAATTTTCTTGGCCTTCTGTAAAACACAGCAGTTACTGATGTACTCAGGCATGTTAAAAAAAAATCTATTATTTTGTTGGAGGCTGGTATGACTTGCTTTATAACATTTTTCTTTGATAAAGTCGAGGAGTTATGCCTCATCAAGGGAAAGTTCTTCATAAACTTAAGTATTCAGTTCTGTCCCTCTGAATGCTTTGCCATCGCTGCTTTCAAGAGCAGTTGGAAGCGCTCTTCCTGACACTTGAATGGTGGCGTGAACCTGATCAAGTCCTTTTGAGAGGATGAACACGCTTCGTCTGCCTGCCACAGGGGGCTGCTGTGAGGGTTAGAATAAAAACCACGGAACAGGAGAAAAACAGCACTGTCAGAGGCCCCGAGAGCTCTCTTTGGTTTCTGAAGAGTTTAAGATTGGAAACCCATGAGTCTTAGAAGTGCTACTGTCAGAGAGAATTCAGCCGTCCCTTAGTGTGTGAGACAGGATGCTCTTCCCGCTCCATCCTTGAGGGAAGGCCTGGGCTGGAATTTAATTCTGCGGCATCCTGCCGGGTTGTGCTTGGAAGCCAGTACACAGTTAATAATGAGCAAGAGATAAATTACAAAACAGCATTTATTTGGAAATAAGTCATATGCATAGACCATGTTTTATAAAGACTTTTCATTCTATGTGATGAAGTCAATATCTTGGGCACATAATAAGCATAAAAAGGGAAAATGTTTCATGTTTGGGGCTTCTGTTTTCTAAGCACTTGCTGCTCGGCCCTTAGTAGGGCAAGGAGATAAACAGCAGTGGCCATGTGTTCTAATGGAAGACAGGCTGCATCCCTTCTCTGACCCCTTCAGGTGGTCCTGCTTAGGGGATACTCCTGTTGGAGATGGTTTGTACTGGGGTATTTGGTTCCTTTGCACTGGAGAACAACAGGAGAAAAAAATGAAAAAAGGGAGAAATAAAATACAGGGAAAACTAGAAAATATTCATGTACTCTGTCTTATGGGCTCAGAGCAAGTTCTTTAGACAACTTTATTTAATAGTTACTGTTTTAAATTAGCATATGTGATAGGTTCATTATAGCGTTTCATACTTATTTTGTTTCATTGATTCTTTTCCCCCATCACACACTTTTACGCTTGTGGCCCTAAGTAGTTTCTTTTCTACTTCTGTATCATTCTGTATATGCTGAGACAAGATTGTGGTCCAGCCTGGCTCAGAATTTACAGAGCTCCTTCTGCCTCAGCATCCTATTCTGGCATAGTAAGCCACTGCATACATGGTGAGACAATGCTCTTGGATTTTAAAATGTGATCAGCCAGAAATTGACTCAAGCATACCTGCTCTATGTGAAATATGTTCACACGAATTCTGAGTCAAGCAGAGGAAGGCTTGTAGTGGGAATAAGAGTTTCAAAAGTTAAGTACACTCATATGAAATTCTTTAATCCGGAAGTGTTTTGGGTTTAAGACTTTATTTTTTAGGGTTTGGACTATTTTAATACACACAAGTGGAAATCTTAAATATATCCGTTAAATTGGAGTATAAACACACACACACACACACACACACACACACACACACACACACACACACACAAAGACAGGGTCTCACTATAGAGTTATGGATGGCCTGGAACTCACCATGTAGACCAGACTGGCCTTGAATTCTCATAGAGTTTCCTTCCTCTGCCTTCTGAATGCTGGGATTAAGAAGTACATCATCATGTCTGGCATGATTAAACACGTTGATTTAAAGTTATAACAGTAAAGCAAACTGTACACTCCATTTCTTAGAAGAAAAAGCTATTCATTATAGTCCACTTGTATCAAAACCAATCTACACCCTCATTTAAAATGCCAAGATAGAGCTATCAGCATCATACCGAAGCTCTACAAGGTTCAAATATGTTTCCGTGTGCTCTTAAATTAAAATTATCATTAAGCAAAACTTTTTATTAAAAATTTGGGGTGCTCCACACTAATTTGCATGTTATCTTTGCCCAGAGACCTAATCCTCTCTATTATTCTAATTTTAGCACATGTGCTGCTGAAGTAAGCATGAGCACTAAGCAACATTTCATGAGCATCTCAACCTTCAAGGCTAGATTTACATCTACTCAGCAACTGAGCATTCTTCCTAAAACCCAAGGCTTCCAAATGCCACTTATTTCCTGTCAGTTTTTGTTTGGTTACCATTGTTTGCACTTGGAGTGAAGGTGATCATGTAAATGGTTTGGTTACTCATTTTGCTTCCCAGGCTGTTTAATGACGAATTCAGCCAATCTCAAGATCTGTATTGAACAGTTCTTGTGCAGTAGTTATTAACAACTAATAATTTAAAGCAAACATCCATCTGTATGAGCGTTCAGACTTTTCCTTGGAAGGAAAGCTGATGGTATCACTGCTGGAAGAGCCCAAAGCTGGAAGCTACCCATGAGGCATCAGAGCGATGGTCATAGGAGAACTACATCCATTAAGAGATTACAGTTCTGAAGCGGGTGACAGACAAGTGCTTACGCTACGTACTAACGCACTCCCTGTCCTTGTCCTTCATCTGTTGTGCTCAAGGAATCTTCTGACTCCTCAAAGATCAGCTATCGGTTTCCTCATGTTTAAAGATAGGCTTTCTGGTTTTGTTTATAGTTTCCTTTGGCTTAATTCTTCTTTAGTTTTTTAGTTGAATTGCTAGCTTTTTTGTTTGATTTTTACCTTTGAGACAGGCTCTCTTTGTGCAGTCCAGGCAGGCCTCCAACGAGCCATTTTTCTGCCTCATTCTCACATCAGGTTTTGTTTCCTAATAAGACCTTCTAATAACACATTTGACTTCAAGCTTTAAAGAGTTCATGTATCTTTAACGGCTTAGTGCTTGCTTGTTTGTAATTTTTATTTCTGATTTTGGGATTGAAAGCAGGGCTGTCATACAGATTTAGGCTTAATTTACGTATATATTTTTAAATTTGTGTTTTGCCTGCATGCATGTAAGGGTATCATGTATATGTAGTACTGAAGGAAGCCAGGAGAGGACATGGCAGACCCTGGAACTGGAGTTACAAATGGTTGTGAGCTGTCACATATGTGTTTGGAACCAAAACTGGGTCCTCAGCGAGTGCTGTGGTCATAGCTGCTGAGCCATCTCTTGAGCCTCAAATTTGTACAGAGTTGAATTCGATTTGCTCACTTTGATGTGTTTTCTTTTGTTTAGAAACATTATTTCTGTGCTCTGCTTCAAAGATTTTTGTTAATTTATGGATGTGCTATAGCCAGTTTGGTTAGTATAAAGTTGGCTATAGTTTGTTGAAAGTTTCTCCATTGCCTAATAATCAATTTTTGTAATGTTCTGTATGTACTTAAAAATGTATTTTTTTGTGATTTATGTTTTAGCCCTTTCACAGTGAATGTTTCTTTGTTATTGTGAATTCACTATTTCCAATTCTCACCAGCTTTCTCCCCTGTACCTCGTTCAGGAAGCTGACACAGATGAAAATCAGGGAACCTTGACATTTGAAGAATTCTGCGTTTTTTACAAAATGATGTCATTGAGACGCGACCTTTATTTGCTGCTCTTGAGCTACAGCGACAAGAAAGACCACCTGACTGCAGAGGAGCTGGCTCAGTTTTTGAAGGCTGAACAAAAGGTATCAGTAGACCATGGAATGGAGTGTTTGCTCAAAAGTACTGGAGAGATTTGGGCATCTGGGTATCGGCTGTATCTGTTAAATGCAGGGTACACTGATAAACAGCACAAGTTATCAAAAATTGTACCAGTGAATCATTTACAACATCTGTCTATGAGCTCTGAAACCTAGCATATATTGCTTTATCTTGCCTATGTTGAATATTTTGTGAATTTTTCCACAAAGGAATAAAAGTTAACTCATATTTCATTTTAGATACACTAGCAATGTTGTTCTTTTTTTTTTTTTCTTTGTACTGCGAGGTACTAGTTACTCTATAAATTTGAACTATGTATTGATATATGGTGGTGTAAATTGGTATTAGTTGATATTAAATTCATAGTGCGTTTTTATAACCATGACATAATTCTTAGGTCACATTATAACACTGATAATTCAGATAGGGACCCGGCGTCCAATCATGTGCAAAGGCTAGTAAATTAGGCCTGGCCTAGAGTAGGAATTCTTAAATCTACTTAAAGGAAAACATTAAATTTTAATATATTATAGGCTGGATTGTTATCAACAAGTTTAATTTTTTTCACATTGCTGTTTTAGAATTGTTCAAACTCCATTTCTCAGTACAGTGGAGAAGTAATGGCTTTGTGTATAAATCTCAAACACAGGTGGAGACTTGAATGTGTGACATTTCAAGGTAATTCATCACTTTGTATGAGTGCAAAGTACATTTCCAAGTCATCGTGCTAAATTTTTGGAATGTGCAAAACATGCCCCTAGAGATCTCAAAATAGAGAGATATTTCTCAATGTTTTCTAATTTTCAGAGTCTATGACACGAAGAAAGAATGCTAAGAAGTAAAGCCACACACTTTTTTTTTGATCTTGAGGCAGGGTTCTCGTGCGGCTGAGGACGCCTGTATGCTTGTTGTTCCTGGACTGTTTTCTGAGCTCTGCAAAGCTCAGCAAAGCAACATATTTCTTAAGGTTTCTCCTTTTTAGGCTTATAAAACTAATTATGACTTGAAGAAAGAAATAATGCAGGAGGTAGATGGAACAAACTGAAAATGAGTCTTTTGAAACATCAGTGCCTGCCCCCAGTGACAGACCTCCTTCAATGAGGTCAAATCTTCTAATATTTCCCAAACATTTCCACCACTGGGGGCCCAAGTATTCAAACCTATGAGCATTCTGGTGTCATTCTCATTCAGATCATCACAGCCATTCATTCTAAAACTTGTGTGTCATAAAATGCTCTTGATAGATGCTTTTCCCTGGCAGGATTAGGTTAAGAATGGAAGTAGTCATTTTTAGTTAATTTCTTGTATTAACTGTTCAATAAATTGTGTTTACTTACTTGTGCAGATTTGGTCATTTCCAAGAAGGCTATGTAAGATTACAAGTGAGCACGCCCCCCGTGAATGTACTAGGTTTCACAATTCTATAGAGAATAAATTTTTCTTCACTCTTAATACAACTTGAGGGTCTTAAAAGTATTTTAAGAAGGAAAGTACCCATATAGATTTCTGTGATAAATTCTCGTGTCACAGAGGAGACTTCATAAGGAAATGAGGATGTGAGGAAATAGGGTTACCTATGCATGTTTTAGGCCAGGTTTGATTGCACCTAGACAGACATGCAGACACAGGAAACTGTGAATGGTAGATACAGGCTGTGATGTCATGCTTTGGAGTAAAAGCAGAGGGTAAACTTAGCAAGACCTGCTTGTTCAGACCCTCTGGCATCTTTTCATCTTTGGCTCCTTTTCTGTGGGTGTAGGCAGGGCAGCTTCTGAATGTGAGTAATCTACCCTAACTTGAAGGGAAAAAAATCAGAAAGTCTTTCCCAGGAGTAAATACCTGCTTAAAGGGAGAAGGCCTGAGGGAGGTCAGAGACAGCTCCCTGTATTTGCTCTTTCTTCACATTCTCAGATGCTGTGTGTTAAGGTAGCCCATGCAGAATCACACTGCTTATACACAGCTAGACTTTTCTTCTATGTTAGTTATCTTTTGGCTCATTATTCTCACAGCTGCCATGATGTAGTCTAATAACAATAATGCAAGTATACTTTGTCCGCTGATCTTGATAAGGAACCCTCAAAACTCTTGGGATTTCCTGAGTGACTGGATAACTTTTCTTATTTCCAAGGAGTCAGTCTGCTTCAAATTTGAATTTGCTGGACCTTTGAATAGTTTCAACCATGTGATGAGAGGTTGTGAGCTTTCATTTGTACTTTGGACATATGGAAAGAAGAGGGAACTGGGGATTAAGTTAATAACCTTTCTCACCGGTGTCATCAGTCTGTACTTTCATGCCTATGTCATACACCCCTCCATAAATTAAATGGCCTGGGGCTCAAGGCTTAATGAACATATTCGGGTGTGGTGAGGATAGATGTCCAGAGAGGCCATAGGTCTCTTCAGCCACCCCATTTCCTACACAGTTATTTTGTGTGGCTCTTGCTGAGCTCTCATTTAGTGTACATAGATAATGGAAGAGAAACACTGTCACTGTACTCCATGGGCCATTCTATGGAATGATTGATCCTGAAGGAGCTTGGGGCAATAGTTTAATACCAGCTCCTTGATGACTCTAACCAGGCTTCTCTGAGCCCTCTTGACAATCCCGTTTCTTAGCCTTGTTTTTAAAAATCTACTTGTATAAAAAATCATGCTGTTATCTTAGCCAGGATCCCCATCCTCAACCGAATACTCCTCAGCCTGTTACTTGCCTCAGTCCCTAGTTGATGTCTGAGCTTCTTGGTTGGCTTTGTCTGTGTAGGTTGAGTTCCCTTTATCTACTTATCCCCGTTGTTCTTGATTTTTGTATAAAAGGCAGCTGGTACCCGCTTTCCCCACCTCACAATGTCAAGTAGAAGGTTGGTCTTGCTGAATGTGACTGAGATATTAAGAAGTGCAGCCATGTGAAGAATAAAATTTAAATACGCAAATCTAGTAACTTTTGCATTATCCAGGCTAGTGGAATCACTCCAACCCATCTGAATGGCAATAGCGCACATCGCTTGCCAAGGGGCATGCGTTTCTTTCCCCTCTCTATTCATGTTGAAATTCTGCCAGGAAATTTTTTGTCAGGAAACAGAAGCCAGTGCTGTGTGAAGTTTGCCCTGGCATATCTGTATGTACTTTCATCTTCTAAATTAGTTTGAAGCTACTAACATACAGGTAGGGCTTGAAAGAATGTCTGTCTATCTGTCTATCTGTCTGTCTATCCATCATCAATGCAAGTATGTATGTATGTATCTATCTATCTATCATCTATCTGTCATCTACATTAGTATACCTCAAGAGGCAGAAGCCATATAAAAACATTTTAATGTATAGAAACCTTAAGGTCTGATATTTCAAACACTGTATAACTACATCACAAGGTAGGGAAGTATTTGTAGTACATAAGAAAAGAAATACCAAGTATCCTTAGTGTGGACAATGCTTTTATGGGTCAATGTACTGAAGGGCTTATCTTGTAGGGAGTTTCCCATTGGTAAGGTATTATCTCATTGATGAATGCTGACGTGCATTCATTAATTCAGTGTCCACCCTTACCACACCTTCTACAAATCCAGGAAGGCTGAGGTCTTCTAGAAAAGGCTATAGGAATGCCTTGTCTATGATCCCTTTCCAGATTATCTCATCTCCCACAGTTAAAATAACAGACATTTTGATATCTAGGATTATTGGTTATTGCTTGTCCAACATGTTTATAGCACCTGCAAACACTTTGTCCTTGCTAGTAATCAAAAACGCAAAATTAAGCCAAGAGATTATTATTTTTAACATGCTAAGTTAGTGAATATTAACAATCATGGTATCTACTTTAGCTTGTAAATGGTCTAACTATTTAGCATAATGGTTTTACAAGTCTGAAAATTTTCAGAATTTACCGAATGTTGATCCATTTTACCTTCAGCCATTTATCCTAAATAGCTAAGTACATACAGAAAATTTTGGAAGGTTGTACATTCCAGCATTCTTTAAATGAAGAAAAATTAAACACAACATAATGTGTGCAGTAAGCTTGATAGCATTTAGTTTTGAAACTGGATTGGTGCAGTGGGACAAACCTGAGGCATTTTGCTCTCGGTGCTACTGATCCATCAACTTCTGAAGACACAAGATTGGCTACAGACACTACAGTGCTCACCTTTTAAAATAGACTGTTGCAAAGCAAAACACCACTGCTGGCCACAGTTAGTATCAAAGATACATGAAATCAAATGCTGGCCCATTGATAGATTCTTATTTCACCCAGAGAGAATATTAGAAATTTATCTTCAGGTAATCTTACCAGTTACAGTGAGTTGAATATTTGTACCCAAATATCTAAGTGATAATCCTTAGTACCTGTGAATATACTGGAGCTAAACTGAATGATTATGTGTTGATAAATACATTTATTATCTTAATCACCTTGGATTGGGGCCTTAAACCCCAAAGTGAGAGTTTTCACAAAAGAGCAGTAGAAGAAGGCACACAGGAAGAAGACCGTCAGGTGGAGACTGAAGTATTCCTCAAGCCAAGGGATCCATGCCACTTTCAGATACAAGAAAGGTTGGGGACAGAGCTAGTAGGGAAGCTAATCCTGCTGACACCTTGGTTTTGGACTTCTGGATTTCATTACCATGATGAAACAAGTTTCTGTTGTCTTAGTTCACTAGTTTGTTAGTGAGAATAGCCCTAGATATCTAACATTACCAACCCAAAGTGTGTGTGTGTGTGTGTGTGTGTGTGTGAGAGAGAGAGAGAGAGAGAGAGAGAGAGAGAGAGAGAGATCCTAAGATATTAGCTTATATAAGAAATCAAATACAGTAGCATGGACCAAGAATCCCACCGTGAAGCCATGATCTGCTCATGAGTACAGATCTTCTGTCCAACTCATTGATGACTCAGTTTTAAATGTCTTTAAATAATTTTAAACATCCTTTGTGTCATTTGTCACACACACCCTCACCCCCGCACGCTAACCTCCCATCCTCCACTCCTCTGTTTTTTCCCTTTTCCCTTTCACATGTGTTCTACTTTCTGCTTCTACACTCAACCCCTGCAATTGTCATACTTTTTTTTTCAAGGAAACAAACGTATAGAAACAAGAAACTTGGTAGAAGCAGAATAGGTGCAACACAGACAGAAGGACATGTCAGAAACTGGTTGTTAATGTCATCAGAATAAGAAAACCACAGCTGTAAACTGAGAGTGAGACACTATGAGAAAAGATCCAGAGGGGGATAAAAGGAGTTCCAAGAAACTTGAAGTTTAACAGTAGAGAGGAAAACACAATGGATGGTTTATAAAATGGAGTAAACAGAAGAGACAGAACTGAAAATAGGAAGAGTCCATGAGATGAAATTATCAAGCAATACAAAGTTTATAAGCATAAAAAGAGGTGACTCTCTAGAGAAGCCACTTGAGGACCATGGACATGGTGGAAGACCAGCCACTCAGATGCAAGTCACACTCATTACTGTAAAACTAAAGTGAACAAAACTGACCAAAGCTAACTGAATTAAGTGGAGGCAGGATGAATAAACAGGACTGGCAAAAGTACCACATTAGGACTTCCCCAAAGCCACTTGGAATCCAAGAAACACAAGAGCAGTGATTTCAAGCTAGAGTTTTCTGCCTCAGTAAATTGTCAAAAGAAACTGTGTGGAAGAAAAGTTACTGAATATATACAAAACCAGAAAAATGCAGACGTCTGACTTTCTTATAGCTCTGTTACAGACGACAAGGCAGAAGCTCAACAGAGCTATAAATCAGACACACTTAGAAGAGGCACCATTATCAAAGGCACCGTCATTAGGTCTATATGAAAGAAAAGGGTTTAGACTTAAAAATCCAGAAGGTCCAAATTTGAACCTTAGTTCATACCTCTTAGAGTTTTGGGACTTTGGTGGCACTACTTAAGTGTGATTCAGAGGCCATTTCTTGCCTTAATGAGAAAAATATACCATAGTGTGATTAGAATCACTGGAAGTATTTGTGGTAGACTTATTAAAACTCAGTCTATAGGAATTGCAGCAATCAATAAATCCAAAAAATTCTGTTAAGAGAGGGAATACAATTTTACTGCATAGCATAGTCACCAGGTTCAATGCTTGCACAGCTGGAATAATTTAAACAGCAGATTATTTGGTAAACATTATGTAGGTACACAGTGGGGTGATGGACAAAGTGGGAAAGCCTTGTTGACTCAAGAGAGCTTATGTTAGATGAAACTCTGACATAATGTTTAAAATAATAAGTCAAGAGGTAATGTACAAAATGGAAAATAACGTAAGTACAACAAGGATTGTGATGATCCACTTTCAAAAAATGGTATTATGAGCTTTGTTGCCTTTGGAGGAATATATAAAAGGGGAGTTGTACTTGGTCGTAAACACTGCAGTTTTGACTTACTCAATAATGAGTTGAGTTATTTGGCTAAAAATAGGTTCAGCAATATTAACATTTGTAAATTCTGTTTCAGCTGTGTGTTTGATGTGCTAGGGAAGCATGGGCGTGAGAAATGCAATCATTTACTCTATTGACTCTGTTTTGGAATATCACTCACTGGGAATGTGTTTTTAGAAAACTAACAGTCTGAAGTTAAAAGCCAGGTTAGAGTGCAGATGTTTTCACAGATACATTACTGGGTTCTACAACTCATTTATATTGTATATATGCACCCATAATGTGAGGACTTTCTTTCTTCTAGATGATATTAAAACACAGTGGTTAACAGAACAGAATGAGTCCAGTCTTAAATAATGCAGGAAGTCAGATTCCAGTAACTGACTTGAAAATTGTAACACCTTCAAAAGATTAATAACTTTCAGCTGTATTGAAAAGCCAAACATCCTTCAAATACCTTAATAGAATGAAGAAAATATCAAGGGATTAGGTCTATGTGAAAGAAAAAGGTTTAGACTTAAAAATACAGAAGGTCCAAATTTGAACCTTGGTTCATGCCTCTTAGAGTTTTGGGACTTTGGTGGCACTACTTAACTATTCTCTGCATCAGTTCTGTTATCTGTAAACTGAGATAGAAAACGTTAAGTTCAGATGACAGTTGTAGCACTGGAGAGATGGCTTAGTGATTAAGAACAGAAACTACTCTTGTAGACAACCAGAGTTCTGTTTCCAGCACCCACCTCAGGTAGCTTGCACCCACCTGTGACTTCAACTGCAGTGGCTCTGATGGCCTCGTTCAGCCTCTGCAGGCTTCCAAGTCCTTGCCTGGCTCTGGGGACACACCCTTTTGGGAGCAGTGAGGGGGATGAAGAAAGGAGACTCGTGGGAGCACCCAAGTGCGTGCACAGAGAGGGACACAGACACCAAGAACTAGTTAGGGAAGGTGGTCTGGACTGTCGACCGTGGAAGCGCACTGTGTTTGCTATTTACATTTAAGCAGGGAGGTGGGGTTATTGCATACAGCTGAACAAGGAGGCGGGGTTAGTCGTGCAGGTTTTATGGTCGAGGCAGGGTTTATGGTTTACAGCTGGAACAAGGACACTGGTTTAGCTAATCTCAGTAGGAGTAGTCTCCGTAGTCTTAAGGTTATAAATATCCGGGGAAAACAGTGCCAGGGGACACCTGCACGCACAGTCAACACGGCCCCTCAGACCCCAGAGAAAGGCCATTTCTTTGAGCCCTGCTCAAGGAAAGCGCTGCAATTCTGCCGTGAGTCTGCGTTCCTCTCAACAGCACATACTGACCTAGGATTTCACACACTTGGGGCTTCTTCCATTTTCTACAGCAAGCCCTTGTGCACAATGTGCACATTTAAAAATAAACATGATTGCACTGACTATTCTGTACTGATAGCAATATGCAAATGTAAGAAGGCATCATAAAGAGAGGCTTAAAAATAAAAATGTGTCACGCTTCTGAGAGGATGCTTACATGAGAAAGCTGTGGGGCAGGAAGAGAGCGGATTCACTCTTTAACTTCAGCTCCCATTAACACGCCACTACGCTGTAACTGGTAGAAAGTTATTTCTAGACATTCCTTAATTTTGTGGAATCTTTACTAATATTTTTGATAATTTAGTGAATAATTTTTAAGCATGAGCTTTAAAAAAATCTAATTTTACTTTACGTCTTGTGATGATGGATTCTCTGCTCATCTACCATTAGTTTCACTCTAGAACGATGGATGGTTTGTTGTTTGTACTTCGCTTTATTCTCATGGGCTCCTGGTGGTTTCCCTGAGTGTAGCGCTCATGGCCCCTGTTCCTCAGAACAAATGGCCACGTACCTGAATAATTGCAAAGTGAACTCAGTCATTCCGCAGTGCATAAAGTCATCAGTGTTTTTTTGTTGTTTTTTTTTTTATTACAGGAGGTAAGTTTGCTAAGTCTAGCTTACAGTATACAAGCTAAAGAGCTGCTCACAGCCTTGTGGGTCTCAGAAGTTCCTTGGAAGCTTTGAAGTTCTGTTTACTTAACCATATTTTCTGGGGACGTGGTCAAGATTTTGGACTTTTATTCAAAGGATGCTAGCTTGGAAAACAAAGCATCATGTATTTTTTAATCTGGCAAAAACAAAAACAAAACAAACAGCTTTTACTCCTGCAGAAAGTTTGCATGCTTTTCAAGAGATGATTTGATATAATAAAAAAGCTAGATTTTTCTAAGACCCGTTGAACCTTAAAGACAATGGAATCTTTGAGGAATATAATTGAAATATGCTTTTAGTATTTATTATTTTATATTGGCTCACGGGATTGGCTACCCTTATGACTAGTCGTCAGTATTTTAAAATGTCATTGTTAGACTCCTGACTGAATGGATTAAAACAACAACAACAACAACAACAACATCACTTTCACTTTTTTTGTAATCTGGGGATCAGACTCACAGATTTATGAACGTTAGGCAAGTATTTTGCCAGCGGGCTATATATATAGTGAGTGGGTTTTGGAAAATGTTTTTGCATTAATTTTTTTTTAATCCCTTCATGGAAAACATTTGTCTAAGAGTTGAAGGGCTGTGTTCACTAACTAAAGCCGAAGGATGCAGGGTAAGATCTTAACCACCCTCAAAAGAGAAAAAGAAAAGCAGGCCTGGGAACTCCAAAGCGCTTGCCTCAGCGCCCTGAACTGTGAATGGGGGGGGGGGCAGTTGGTCTTGCTGCAGTATAGAGGACACAGCTTGTGAGGCTGCAGGAGCATTCCTTCTACTCTGCTTTCTTTAGATGAGCAATGTGACGGTGGACTACTGTCTTGACATCATTAAGAAGTTTGAAGTTTCTGAAGAAAATAAAGTGAAAAATGTCCTTGGAATAGAAGGTAACCAGTGGTCCCACTTTCCCTGTCTCTCTCTGTCCTAGCTGCAACATTAAGTTTTATTACAAGTTTCAGAAAGCAAAATTGGGAAATGGTCATGGAATTTCAGGTAATTCAGGTAAAGCCCAAAAAGCATAGACTTTCCTGCAAAGGAGATCTCTGGCTTTGTCTTTCTCTTATTTTTTGCAGTAACCTTTAAGCTACCATTGTGTGTGGTGAATGAAATATTTGGACTTTGCTCAAATGGATGTTTGAGCCCTTAAACAAATAAATAATCTATAAGATTAGTGACTTGAAAATAAACATTTTTTAAAATAAAATTTTAGGAACTGATTTGTTTTTCCCAACTGGTAGAAATTTAGAAAATGTTAGAAATCGTGCTAATATATATGTAGCTAAGGAAAGTAAGACCAAAAGAAATTAAATAATTTATATAATTATGCATTCAGAATTTAGCTCCTATGATTTACACATAAATTTACACATATAGCCACAGTGTGTATAAGCCATATGCCTTTAAAATATGCAGAGAAGTAAATTATAGGCTGTGAGATTTCCCAGGCAAACAGATGATTTTAACCAAAGACTTGTGGGAAGCTCAACTTTCCCCAAGAGCATTCAAAGCTACAATTGACTATTGACTTCTGGAATTCCCCTGCTCCCATCATCAGTGTAGATCTGGGTGTGTGTGTGCAAATGTGTGCCTGTGTGCATTCATGTGAGTATGCACACACGTGTGTGTGTGTGTGTGTGTAAAAGTATGTGTCTGTGGCTGTGTGTGATCGTGAGCAATTGGTGTGTGCATGCCTCTGGGTGTGTGTGGCAATCAGGTTCATATCACCAGACCTGGCTTACCTGGTAAGATAGTAATCTACCTGAAAAGATATTTTTAAAAATGAAAAAAAAAAAAAAAACAGCAAAAGTAGTTCAGGACAATTATTCATTTTGAAGAGACTTCATGGTCTACATTTATTAAAATGCTAATCAGTTTCAGTGGTGAGGACACAGATATAAGGAAGATATATTATTTGTCTTCAAAGAGCTCACAAATTATCAGGGAGCATATATGTACAAATATTAGTATGGGATGAGAATTCTGTTGGTTGAGGCACAGGCATGGTATAGGAATGTTAGTACAGAGTAGGGTGTAGTAAAATATAAGTAATCATGCAGATTCTCTAATGCCAAGTTCTTATTTCCTGGGATGGAATAGAATTAAAATGAAGAGGAATAATTTAAAATTTTTCCATCATTAAAACTATTTTAAAATAGAAGATAACCTAACTTGGGCCTCTTAAGACTGTACTTAAATAATAATATTTTTCTTGAGGCTTTCCCCAAAGCTGCAGTTAAGTTTGACCTCTAGTTATGAACATAAAGGTCGCAAGGAAGAAACTCTGAAGACTCGGCATATTTTCAGATTGAATTTTACCAAATGAGTCTCAGCAAGTTGAAACAATCTATCATAATAATGATTACTTCTGTTCACTGGTATCTTTCTTCACCTATTCATTGTGATGGCTGCCTCCTCTACTCCGACTTTGGGTTTTGAGAGCTTATAGAAAATTTGGTAGATTTTCTACGCAAACTTTAAGCAACATTTTAAAGTTATTTATGTGAAAACCATTGGCAGCAGTTTTCCCAAAACCTGTTTCATAGTTAGCCACCCTTTGAAATTAGGCAATACTTAATGTTTGGCCCTATACTTTACCATGTGCTGTTTTTCAGAACATTGTAAGAGCTTATCAGCTGCTGGTGGATTGAGGTTTAATATGGTTATAATCAAATTGGTCACCCCTGAGCTCACACCACATAAACATAGCTTGAGTTTAGTAGAATAAATGCTTTTGTTATGACAACTCAATTTTTTTAAGATGAAAGTTTTTCTGACGGATATATTTGAGTGGTTACTTCCCAAAGTTATATTTTCTGATGTTCTATTTATCACCAAGAAAACCTCTCATTGTCACCATAAGCATTGTCCTGATACTCGCTTATGAATGTTCTTTGGCCATTTTTTTTTGTCTCTGTTGGCATCGGTTATGTAGCTATTCTTTGAAAGCTGTGGCATTTCACTCTTTCCTCTGAAGGCTTCACGAACTTCATGCGTAGTCCTGCTTGTGACGTATTTAACCCTTTGCACCATGAGGTGTACCAAGACATGGACCAGCCCCTCTGCAACTACTACATTGCTTCATCTCACAACACGTACCTGACTGGGGACCAGCTCCTCTCTCAGTCCAAAGTGGATATGTATGCACGGGTGCTACAGGAGGGCTGCCGCTGTGTGGAAGGTGCGTAGAGTTCGTCTGGACTCAGGGGTGCTGCATGATAGGCCTTTTAAGATGCAGAGGTCCAAAGTTTCTGTACCAGTTAGAGATGTTTGTTCATTATAAAGTCATTTTTCTTCTTTGTCTCATTTTTCAATCACGAGGCACAGAGAAATGTGCAAATATTTGGGAAACATACCTTGAACTGCTAAGATAGTAATCTACCTGAAAAGATATTTTTAAAAATGAAAAAAAAAAAAAACAGCAAAAGTAGTTCAGGACAATTATTCATTTTGAAGAGACTTCATGGTCTACATTTATTAAAATGCTAATCAGTTTCAGTGGTGAGGACACAGATATAAGGAAGATGTATTATTTGTCTTCAAAGAGCTCACAAATTATCAGGGAGCATATATGTACAAATATTAGTATGGGATGAGAATTCTGTTGGTTGAGGCACAGGCATGGTATAGGAATGTTAGTACAGAGTAGGGTGTAGTAAAATATAAGTAATCATGCAGATTTGGTCAGGCACAACGGTTTTAGGTTCAAATTTTGATTTGAAGGCCAGTGAAGGAACTTTTTACCCCCTAAGAGAGAGGATTATTTTGGCTTACTGCTTGAAGAGACCAGAGCATCATGACAGGGAAGGCAAAGCAGCGAGATCGTGAGGTGGCTAGTCATGTAGCTACAGTCAGGAAGCGGAAAGAGGTGAATGCTGGCTAGTCAGCAGGCTTTCTCATCCTCCCCCTTTGTTACTCAGTCTGGCTCCAAGCTCATGGGATGCTCGTCCACATTTAAGTAGGTCTTCCAAGACGAGTTATACTCTCATCTCATAATAGAAAATGCATCTAAAGGGCCCTCAAAGTTTTATTAGTCGATACTGCTTAAGGTTCAGTTTCTTCTGCAACTTAGTTATCTCAGAACTGTGAGCTTCCTGTAAAAACTAAAAATAATGCAATGGCCCAAAGAACATAACATTCCAAAATGGAGGGATGGGGACCTAGCCTAGAAGGATCCAATCAAAGCAAGACTGAAATCCACCAGGGTGAACACCAAACCCTGCACCGCTGTGTCCAGTATTTGGTGTTCTTGGTGGCATTGTCTGGATTCAAACAAGCCTGAGTGGTCTCTTCTGTGAGCTCCGTTGGCTGTTAGTCTTTCGTTTCTCTCTTGAGCTTGCTTTACTCAGCCAATCTCTGTGGCTTTGCTCAGTGAACATCTTACATCTCTGATGTCTCTAATGTCTATGATCTCCAGTGTAACTTAGGCCTACCTTCATGTCCTCACAGGAGCCCCGTTTAGGGAATCCTACCATGCCATCAGTTGCCTGACTTCAAAGAATGATTAGAAACTCTGGCAAAGTTCCCCATTTCTTACACTTGCATCTTGCATGCCAGGGAAACCAGCTCCATGTGACTAATGCTAAGTTCTGCTCCTCCTTGAGATTATCCTGGCCCAGTTGGACCATTGCTGCAGTGGCCTCTGTGTCCTTTTGTGGTTGAACCTGGGAAAATACTTCTTCAGCATCCTGGCTCAAGCAGGATGCCGGGAAGCTCTTTTTGTTAAGAAACTTTCATGTCAAATGAATGTTTTCAGATGAGTTTACATTGTTTCATTCTGCAGCTTTGGATGGTGCCTCTATCTTGGTGTCTTGTCCTCAAATCACCTTTCTTACTGTGTAGTACAAAGTCCTAGTTTTTCCTTAGTGCCCTATCCCCACTGCTGGGGCTTGAACTCAGGCCCTCAGGCATGCAAAGTATGTGTTCTACCATTTGTGTTGTACCCCAGCCTAAGGGCATTAAGCTCTTTAATAATTATAACTAGTTTGTCCCCACCTGCTCTGTGCTCAATTTTATCATTTTTTAAAGTGTTTTTTTTCTCTCACTAAACTGCATATTTTCATATCTTTGTGCTCCATTTTCTGCTGTTTCATTGTAAATCTGGATAAATGTAAAGGACAATAATATCTATGACACACCCTGAATGTTACCGTCTCCTGCTGTCCTTTGCCAAATAAACAATTCCATTACTTTTGGATCCACTTTCATTTAAGTTTCAGAACCAGGCAGATCCAGCCAAATTTTTGCCAGAGTACTGTGAAAATCCTCTTAATAGAGTTCTTTGGAGGCCAACTATAAAGATGGCATTCACTAGTTTCATGAAGTGATCGTCCATTGTAGATATAATCATAGCTTGCTGCTGTCCTTTTTTGTACTGTTTCTCCTACGTTTTTGGCTCCTCAGATCCAAGTCTTCTTTTGCTTACCTGTCCAAAATCAGCATCCTGCTGTAGAAATCAAAATCAAGGGAACTTATAAAACAAAGAATTTATTGGGATTTACAGTCTGAAACTGTTAATTAAGGGTTAATTAGGGTCAAGGCAAGGAACATGGTGGCAGGTAGCAGGAAGATATGATTCTGGAGTAGAGTATCTGAGAGCTTTTATCTTGAGACACAACCACTAGACATGTGCTAACTGGGAATAGCAAGAGATTTTGAAATCCCAAAGCCCACCCCCAGTGACATACCTCCTTAAACAAGACCACACCTCCTAATCCTTCCCAAACAGCTCCACTCAGGGTACAGCAATACTCATGAGTCCATGGGGTGGGGCATTCTCATTTTAAAGACACTATTTGAGCCTGACTGTGTTTCCATGGTCATTTTCATATTCTGAACCAAAACTTTTTTTTATTAATTAATCTATTTACTTTACATCCTGACTTTCTCTTCCCACCTCTTTTTCCAGTCCGTTCTCCTTCTCCCCTTCCACCCCCATCCACTGGCTGTTTGACTAGCCACTTGGCCTTCAAATTGATCAGGTCTTTGTCAGAGTGTTTGGGGGATTATAGTGTGTGATCTGGTTGAAAAATGGTCCCTGTAGCCCCTGGCTGTTTTTTGCCTTACAGGGTTTGTTGGAGTATTTCTATTTTGCCAATAACCCTAGCACACTGTTAGCCTTCACAGGAAACTTCCCTTGAACCTGGCTGTCTGTGCCTCAGTGACGATCTGGTGGGTTGTGTTATTGTCCTTGATTAACAGAAACTTGAGTTCAGATAAACTATCAACATGGATAGTCTGCCTGTGTTTTAAATATTAGCAGCATATTGTTTCATGACTAATGTAGGTTAGAGTATGTTGGTGTGAAGAACAAATCAGGTAATGATGTGCCTTTTACTTGACATTTTTTTCTTTGGAAGATATTTCATAAGTTCTTTTTCTGGTGGAGTTTGATTAATACAGGATCCAGTGCCCTTCCCTTCATGTACTAAACATTGGCTGGTCCTCTGTAAGAGCAACAAGTGCCTGTGACCACTGAGCCATCTCTTCCACGCTGAAATAAACCCCTCCCTTCTTCCCTCCCTCCCTCCTTCCCCCCTTCCCCCCTTACTACCATCTCTCTCTCTTTCTATATTTAGGCAGAGTATCTCTATGTAGTACAGGCTGGCATCAAACTAACAGAGATCTGCCTGTTATATCATTTCTACTTTAAAAATGGGACTGTAAGTCCAGGCAAGAGGTGTTGAAATTGCACCCAGTCATACACTGCCTAATGGCAGTGATACATTCTAGGAAATGTGTCAGGCTATTTTGCCAAATACCAGAGTGTGCTTACAGAAACCTAAGTGTTATGGATCAGTCCAGTATGGATTCTTAATGTGATGCAGAGACACAGTAAATGTGATCTGTATGAAGCTGTTACTGATGGAAAACAACATATTGTTTTCTAATAAACTTTTTTATAAATTAAAGAAAACACTCTGGAATAATAATAATAATAATAAAGCAGAGCACAAAAGATTGTAAACCTGTAATATGGTTATTCACTATCACTACCAACTATTAGATACTAAACAGAATCATACATGCAGCTAAAAGTGCAGTATATTTGTTTACACTGGCAATATCACTAACATGTGAGGACCGTCTTTTGCTAAGAGATCACTATAGCTGCTGTGCCACACGGTTTTAGAAATGTCTGCTTCAGTCTGGGAATGGCGGTGCACCCCTTTAGTCTTCACACTTAGGTAGCAGAGGCATACAGATCTCTGTGAGCTTGATGCTAGCCTGTAGTCCATAGTGAAACCCTGCCTTACATATAAATAAATAAGTAATTTTAAAATGAAGGAAATGTTTATTTCAGGGTGGAAGAGATGGCTCAAGTGTCACAGGCACTTGCTGCTCTTATAGAGGACCAGCCAATGTTTAGTGCACGAAGACCATCAGAGCCTATATTAATTAAAGTTCACCAGAAAAAGAACTAATGGAATAGAGTAAAAAAGGGAAACCAGAATTGGCTGGTTGCATTTAAGGAGTGGGCTCACACAGTTGGGGTGTGAGCAGGTCTGAACTCTGTAGACTGACTGACTATTAGCTGAAGACCTTGGTTAAAGGTGACATTGCAGGTATGTGAGTTCAAAGCAGGCTCAGGCAGAACTTACTTGTGCTAGTTGCTTTTTGCTTCTGGAACCAAAAGCAACTCTCAGATGTAAAGATTTATCTGGAGAAGTTGAATTTATTTTAGTTAATAAAGAAAAAGATTTTTTAAAAAAGATCATATTCTTAGGTATGTTTGGCTTAATTTTGATAAATTTACAAGAGAAACTTTGCTAAGCATTAACTTACATGTGAGCAGGATATCTTTGTAAACTATAAGCACTGTCAAAAAACCCCAAACCCCAAGTCATTTATCATCTCTAACTCTTTATTCTCATAAGTATGGTGCAGTGTTCAGTTCTCTGCCTTTATATCTTTCTTATTACTGCAGTGTATATAATTTCCAGTAATAATAATTTGTTTCTGGTATTTCCAGAAATAGTAAGAAACTCCAGACATTGTATGTTGCTAATGTGAACTTCTGTTTTGGGCAGTTGACTGTTGGGATGGCCCAGATGGAGAGCCAGTGGTCCACCATGGTTATACTCTCACTTCAAAAATTCTCTTCAAGGATGTTGTGGAGACCATCAACAAGCATGCCTTTGTGAAGAATGAGTAAGTACAGCCACACCTAGGAGCAAGCATGGTCCAGGTCTACAGTGATGTGGGCACAGAAATGCACACTCTTCCATGGACCCCGTGGCTTCAGCAGTACTGTCCTGGTTCTCTTCCGGCTCCCCATACAATTGGGAAGGAGTACTATGGCATCCAAGCTTATGGATTCTTGTGACCTACTCACTCCTTAATTCCATTCTCTCTCATCCTGTCTCCTTGAAACTATCCTTGAAAAGAATGACTTCTAAGTTCCTAAACCCAGAAGGCTAGGAAACAAGTTATTGTACGTAACAGTTTTTAACTTTGTGAGACTTTATCTTCATGTATGAGTGTTCCGCCTGACTGCATGTCTGTGCATCATGTGTATGTCTATGTGTGGATGCCAGAAAAGGGCTCCAGATCCCCTGGGACTGGAATCGTAGACAATTCTTAGCTTTCATGTGGAAGCTGGGAATTGAACCCCAGTCCTTTGGAAAAGCACCCAGGGCTCTTAACTGATGAACCGTCTCTCCAGCCCCATAACAGTACATTTTTTCGATGCTATGTCATAAATAATAAAATGCTGAATGTTAGACACTTCAGGATGCATAGGACATCCAACAGAGAGAAGATTGGTCATTTTTCTGATTTCAGTCCTTTCTCTTTAGTCTCATTTCCCCTTTGGTTCATACTCCACACCAATGCTATGGTTTCTTCCTGAAACACAGATGCTGCTGTACTTCCTGTCCTAGTGTTCTTCCCAAAGGTTCTACAGCACCCTGGATGTCTTCGTGCCCTTCATGGGTGATTACTTTACTTCTCTTCCAGTATTATCCTCTTCCATCATTGCTCCACAGAGACCTAGCAATGACTGTCTTTCACCTTCTCCAACAAGCCTGGAGCTTTTATGACTCCCAACCTTGGGTATTCTAGTATCCCCACAAATGTCCTTCCCACCATGCCACTGACATACTTCATTTTTATATAACAAAATTATTTAAGCGCTGCCCCACTAAGAATCATATTTGACCCACAGCTGACTTACCCTCCCTTCCTTGATGAAAAATTGATAACTTGCCTCCTTTTATAGGTATGAAGTGGTTAAATTCATTGAAATTCAGAACCTTATTTCAGCAACCATTGATTTCTTTCTGTTTAGCAGGTACCATCAATGTAGTAAGCATACAAAGAAGGATTTTTAAATTAAAAAAAGCAAATTAAAATTATGATTGCATAAAATTAATATTTTAGAAGCTAGTAGCCTTTAACATTTCCAATATTTGGTCTTATTAATTAACCATAAAGGTGAAATGCTCTTCTAATAAGAGTGCCTGCTGCATAGCAAATTTGGTTTGTGGCATCTTTTTTTTTTTTTTGTGGCATCTTTTTTTCATGAAAGAATTTAGTGCTAAATTTAGTCTTCCAAACCCTGATATCTATGAGTCTTACATGTCAGTATTTCCCATTATATGAAATAGTGCCATTGCATACATCAGACGATCGATCCTCTGGTGCCTCCAATGTTGACTTCATGTCTAAGTACCCTTAGAAGAAATGCACTTTAGGGACTGGAGAGATGGCTCAGTGATTAAGAGCATTTGGTGCTCCTGCAGAGGACCTGAATTTGGTTCCCAGAACCCACATTACTTGGCTCACAACTAACTTTAACTCCAGGTTCAGTGACATCTGATACCCTCTTCTGGCCTCTGTGGGCAATAGGCAATGCACCTGCATTCAGGCAAAACAGTCATACATGTAAAATAGTGGTAAATCTTTGAAACAGGAATCACTTTTAATGAGAATGTCATATACTTTGTTTAGGGCATTAACAAGCTTTGGTCCTTTTATTTACCTTCTAAATTTAATAACCAAGACTTCTTAACTTTGGCACTGTGAACTACTGGGACAGGATTATATGTGGTGGAGAGCCATCTTGTGTATTGTAGGGCATTTAGCAGCATCTCCAGCTTCCACTCACCAGATGCCGGCAATATCCCTAAATTGTGCCCACCTAAAGATGTCTATAGACATTGACAGATGTGTGGGATGAACCTCAAAGTCCCTTCTGGTTGAGAAGAACCTTATGCCTGGCAGCACTAGATACTCATGAGATCTTTACATGGGAATTGAAGATTTAAAATTATTTTGTTAAAACCTACATGGTTGCAGGACATCTTAGGGATGCTTTTTTTTCTCTCTCTCCCTTCACAATGCTTTTGTATAAAACCTGCCTGAAAGCACATCCAGCTGGCAGACAACAGTCAGGAAAGCAAGCCTTTATCAGTCAGAGGCACCTGTGTTGTGGATTGGATATAAATTTTAGATTTATAAAGGCTTGAAGGCACAATAACTGGGCAGATACCAATCCTCTACGCTATTTTACTATTTCCCAGATACACACCCCCGAGTTACTTGCCATAACTGTTCCTGCCTGGGCTGCTCTATTCCATCAGGCCAACCCTCATGGCCACGTGCTCAAGGTCCATACTGCCTCATAGTGACCTCCTTCTCTCCAGCTTCCTCTCCTGCTTCTCCCTTCTGACTCACAGTCCCCATCTGACCCCAAGCCCAGGAACCTAAGCTCTGCCTACTTCTCTTCTGCCGAGTCACAGGTGTCTAGCTATTTTTATTAACCAAGCAACTATAAATTGGGGAGCAAAGTTTACACAACATCACTTGGTGGACCTGAGAAGGTGCTCATCTGGATAGCAACCAGATCCTGGGGGCCAGTATTTAGCGTTTGAATCCATAGCACCTGCGCTGTTACCGCTGCATCAGGTGTTCTAAATTGAACAGAATGCAATCTGAAGACGGCCAGAGAAATCTTTTTCTAATTTACACAAATGTATCAGGTAGTTCAAATATTGGTTTATGTACTTTGAAAGAAGGTCTCACATAATATTTCTAAAGATACATGAGAGAAAACTAAGAAAAAAAAATTTCCTGCTTTGGCTGCTAACCTCTTAGGTTGTTTTGGGAACCATCTTATATTTTCTGTCCTGAAACGTGTGTGCTGCGTTAGAATGGACAGTTGTTTTCTTAGACATCTGTGTGTGGGTGTGGGTGAGTGGGTGGAGTAGTCCCATGCCACCCTGCACATGTGGACATTAGAGGACATCTAACAGAAGTCCCTTCTCTCTTTCCTCATGTGGATGTCAGGGATAAGAGCCTGGTCTTCAGGCTTGGCAGCAGCTGCCTTTGCTGACTGAAGCTGAGCCATCTCAGTGGTTCAGTTTTTTTATTTTTTCTTAAACTGAAGGCTGGTGTGCAGTTTCATAAAATGATTTGGGGGAGGCCTGATACTTGGTGTGTAAAACAAAGCTCCATTATGCTTTTTTTTTTTTTTTTAACCTTTCGTTCCCTAGCTGGGACTGGTATATTTTTAGAGTAAGCAACCGCCCTTAATGATATGCAGCAGTCCCTTTGATGCATTTACACTTGTGAATAAATATGAAAAAAAAAAACACCATGAATTTTCTTTCCTTAGGAGATATATATATATATATATATATATATATATATATATATATATATTACACTTATTTTCTGCCTGATATTAAACTAAGCTATCCTGCAAGAACTAATATTTATTTAGTCATTATGCTTGGAAAATGTATTTGCTTTGAGGAATTTTTTCCATGCATATTTAATCTTTCTCCTCTTAGCATCATTTTAATCATTATTAGTACAGCCCATTCAATTGCAGGGATTTTAAGAACGCAATGAATGCAGATTCTATTTCCAGGTTTCAAAAAATCCCTGTGAGCCGGTGCACTGAATGCTCTTGGAATTGTTGCTGTTTCCTCAGGTTTCCTGTTATTCTGTCCATTGAGAACCACTGCAGCATTCAGCAGCAGAGGAAGATTGCTCAGTACCTGAAAGGAATATTCCAGGACAAACTGGACCTGTCATCTATAGATACAGGAGACTGCAGGCAGCTTCCAAGCCCTCAGAGTCTGAAAGGCAAAATCCTAGTGAAGGTAAGTACTTCAAGGGTTACAGCCCAAACATTAAATGATCCAATACATCCTCCTCCTTGTTGACAAAAAAAAATGTTTAAAAAAGAATGTCACAGACGGTCTCTTCTCCCCTTACTTGGAAACCTACATGGAGACTACATCTGAGCAGGGGGTTTATGTCCTCTCTATGTCTTTGGTTGATGCATCCGTCTCTGTAGTCTCCCCTGGGCCCTTCTTCCATTAGACTCCCTGCATACTGTCCAAAGTTTGTGCGTCTCTGCATCTGCTTTGATCCCCTGCTGACTGGAGTCTTAGAGGACATCCGTGGTAGTCTCCAGTCCTGTTCCCTCTCTCGTACTGCTTCTGGTGTCTATCCTGTTTTTCCTTCTGAATGAGAATTAAGCATCTTTCCTTGCCTGCTCCTTGATCACTTCTCCCTGGTGGGATGACCTAACCAGCACACAGAGGAAGAGGATCCAGGCAGTCCTGATGGGACCTGATAGGCCAGGGTCAGACAGTAGGGAGGAGAACTTCCCTTATCAGTCAACTAGGGAAGATGAATAGGGTAGGAAGAAGGAGGAAGGGTGGGACTGGAAGGAAAAGAGGGAGGGGGCTACAATTGGGATACAAGGTGAATAAATTGTAAAATAATAATAATAATAATAATAATAATAATAATAATAATAATAGTAAAATCAGAAAAATCGTATCAATAAGAAAAAATAAAAAGAAATAATTAGAGTCAATACATGTGAAGGGTGTGTATACATGCATCTTTTGTTAATGTATAGTCACACCTTCAGAGGCAAGTTAATGGGTTTGTTTTTCTGGCTGTCCGTTATCTGAAAGCCGTTTTAGTCTGGGAGCATTCACACAGAGAGGTGTGCATGACAAACGGGGGTGCGAGAGAGAAGAAAACTCTCTGACTCCAGTCTGAAGGCATTCTGTTCAGATTCTTTTCTTCCACTTCAGGCTCCAATAACTGTCAAAAGGAAAAAAAAATCTTCATGGTCGATTGGTCTTGGTTATGTGTGTGAGAAGCACTCGCTTCAAACAGGAACATGACATAATGCCCCTCAGGAATTGTGTATGTGAGAGGAGAGGGGGTGAGCAGAGTAGCATTTCATCAACAGATTTTCTAAGGGAGAAAGCTTACGGTGGTGAATATCGTTAATGCAAAAGATGGCTAGAAAGACAGTTTCTTGAGCTCCGTATTTCCGGCTTTGTGATTTCACTCTTCTTCAGTGTTTTCGGTGGACTAAAACCTTGGATGGTTGTCTTGTTTTGAGTTCAAAAAGATAAAGAATAGAGAAATAGACTCGGCTACTTAAAAAGAATGTATGTGATGGAGAAGAGGGAAAGTCAAGGAGAGAGCCCACTGCAGGGCAAAGCTTTAGGGAAGAGAATGAAATCTCCCAAGTCAGTCAAAACCTGCTTTTTTAACAATTAGTTAGAAGTATAGCTGCAGAGTCCATCAAAGAGGTGTTGTCAGGCTCTTGTATTAATGCATCGTGAATAAAATGTCCCAATAACCTGACAGGTAATATTAAGGTCAACTTGTCGAAATCTGGTCAAAGGTAACTGCTGTGCTAAAAACTGGTTTCTGCATTCAAAATCGAAGTGTTATCTTTGTAATATTGTAAATCACTCCATATTCCTTATCCAAAAGTCAGGAAATTAAATGTAGACTGAGACAGTTTGATTAAAATCTTTTTTTTTTTTTTTTGGCTGGCACAGTGGCACATACCTTTAATTTCAGCACTTGGGAGGCAGAGGTAGGCAGATCTATGTGTGTTTGAGGTCAGTCTAGTCTACATAGTATGTTCTAGTCAAGCCAGAGCTGCATAGTGAATCAGTCTCTCTCTTTCTGTGTGTCTCTCTCTGTCTCTGTCTCTTGATTTTTGGACAGCAGAAATTAAGAAGGCTATTTTGTGAACTTATTGAATACTTTCTCTAACACTTGTCTATGGTCACTTAGGACAGAATGTCCCAGGGCCTTTGGACACTGGAGTGAATGCTGTGGACAGAAGGTCTTTGGAAGGAATGGCAGCAGTGTGGGCTATGGGTATCTCAAATGCATAATTCCTGTACTTAGAAGTGGAGGCAGGAGTATCAGAAATTTAAGGTCATCCTCAGCTACACAAAATGACTTTGAGGCCAGCCTGGGCACAAAAGACCCTATCTAAAACAGCAGTGCACTGATAGGATCTGAGCACTTCAGACTTACCCCCAGGGGGTGGGCAGCCTTACCAGGCCACAGAGGAGGACAATGCAGCCACTCCTGATGAGACCTGATAAGCTGGGGTCAGATAAAAGGGGAGGAGGATCTTCCCTATCAGTGGACTTGGGGAGGGACAAAGCAGGAGAAGAGGGAGGGAGGGAAGGTGAGATTGGGAGAGGACAATACAGCTGGGATACAAAGTGAATAAATTGTTACAAATAAAAAATAAATTAAAAAAGGTAAAAATGACCAAAATACAATCTATACATGTATGAAGTTGTCAAAAGAACAATAAAAAGTACTTTTAATTTAAAAAATAAAAATAAAAATAAAAATAAAAATGAAATAAATGCCGTTCTGTAAGTTGAAGAACATATTTAGGTCTCCAAATCCTAAAAGCTTTATCTGAATGCAGATTTTACTTTTATTACAGAGATGATCTAATTATTTTGAAATTATCACTGTGCTAAAGCCCAGGGTCAAGGGCTGTGGGTGTATAGGAGGGTGCAGAGCAGCAGGCGAGATTTCTCCTGCAATCCGACAAAGCATTCCTGTGCAGAAATCAATTACCAGTTCGTTCCATACTTAAATTTTTTCTGTGCCTGTTTTGGGTTTTAAGTGCTAGATATTTGATTTTTCAACCTTTCTTAAAGGTAGGGGTTACACCTCGCCTACAAATTACCAATCTGATGAACCTTCCTCTGGCATTAAAGAAGAAACAAGAGAAGAGGTTCAAACTGAGCCCATCCTGCAGAGGGATGGTAGAAGCCAGTGGTAGCTCTTCTGCCAACAATTCCTGAGGCTACTGTGTGGATGGTGAAGTTACAGTGATCTCTGTCCCTTATTTTTGCGAAAAGCATTTTCGCTGCATTAGGTCCGCCCCCATGGTTCTATTTGTGAGTCTATTAGGCTTCTATGGCTGCATAACAAATGGCCCCAAATTTAGCAACTTCAAGTAGCAGACATTTTCACATAGTCCCTGCTGAGTTTTCTGCTCAAAGCCTCATCAAAGGCTGCAGTGAAGGTGTCAGGTGGAAACAGTTACCTCAAGGTGGGAAGAGGAAGCTGGATATATAGGAGCAGTTGGTGGCAGGATGTTTACCCAGAGACTTCGAGTTCTTTGCTATGTGGTTCCTTCCATTGAACAGCTCTCTCTCTCTTTCTCTCGCTCTCTCTGTATTGAGAGACAAAGAGGGAGGGAGGGAGGGAGGAAGAGAGAAGAGAGATACAGAGACAGAAAGAAGCAGAGAGGTGGGGGCTGGGGGATGGATTCATGTGGAAGGGTAAGGAGGAGATAGGTTCAAGAAGGGCACCCTATCATTTTGCTGTGCTCTCCATGTTTAGAAGCAGTCACTAGGGCCAGTACATAGTCAAGAAGAGATTATGGCAGAAGGGCAGAGAAAAGAGATGGGAGACATTGGTCAAATTTGTAGGCTGCCCACTACAACAGCCTCAGCTGTTTGACTCAGAGCGTGTTTCTGACCACTCTGTCCAGTATCATATTCTGGGAGCAACTGAATATCCTATTAATATTTCTTAGAACTCTCTCTTGTTAGGTCCCTGGGTCTTGCATTCTTTTGGCTTTTCTTTTTTTTATTTCTTTTTTAACTTTTTTAAAATTTAAATTGGAAAATATAGGAGGGGAAAAACCACAGAAGTACCTACTCTTAAAAAGCCAAAACAACAACAATAAAACAGACATGCACATGCATGCACATGTTTGTATGTCTGGGGATGGGACACAGGTGGAGGTGAGAGGACATCTACAGGTGTGAGTGGTTGCCTTCCACCTTGTTTGAGGCAGGCCTATGAGCGTCCAGGGATTCTCCTGTCTTGTCTCCCATCTTGCCATAGAAGCCCTGAGATGGCAGACATGAGCTAATGACACCCTGCTTTACATGGCATCTGGGCCTCCAAAGTCAGGTCCTCATGCTTGTCCAGCAAATGCTTTGAGCATCTCCCCAGCCCTGGACACTTATTCTTAACAATTGACTGTGTCTACTTCCAAACTGTTCTTTGGAGATCTTGTACATCTTTGAGATCATATTGGGTGCAGACAGTCCACCTCCTCTGCCTGTACTGAACTTTCACAGGTCCCCTTCCTTTAAGTTATATGACCTTGATGTTACATTAGGTACGATAAACAGCCTGGAGGTGATTTGGAGTGAATAGGAGGATGTGCAGTCACCAAACTGTGTTGCAGGAAGGACTTGAGCATCTTTGGGATTTGATGTCTGAGATGAGATCCAGAGCCAATCTTCCATGAATACTTGGTGATGAATACAATGTTGCAACTCAGATCTCTTCCCTCCTTATTATGAGCGTTTTCTCTGTTGAAGGTCTTTGATTTCTAAAACGTATTGGTGACTCGAGAGTGGCCTGGTCCTGAGGATTGTTCTGTAAGCTGCATGTGGCTCTGTGAAAGAAGGCTTGGATGCAAGGGGATACCAGCAGGCAGCTGCTAAAGGCAGCTTTAACCTCTGAGAGAAGCAGCTGCTCTTGGGGGCCATAGTGTCTTTGGGCTGCTAAAACAAAATGTCTTAGTCTGGGCAACTTTAAAACAAAGGAAGTTTATTTGTCCATTCTACAGACTGAAAAACCCAACCTCCAAGTTCTAGAATTCTCTCTTTTCTCCTCTCTCCTCTCTTCTCTCCTCTTCTCCTCTCTTTTCTCCCCTCCCACTTCCCCTCCTCCTTCCCTCCCCTCCTCCTTCTTCTCTTTTCCCCTCTCCTCTCCTTTCTTCTCTTTCTTTCTTCCCCTCCCCTCCCTTCCACTGCTATCTCCTCTCCTCCCCTCCCCTTTTTTTCCTTTCTTTCACTCTCTCTCTTCCTTCCTTCCTTTCTTTCTTCTCTCCCACAACCCCAAAACCATGTCTTACTTGGCAGCCAAGGCCCACCTAGAATTCACTAAGTAGCCAGGCTTATCTCAACCTCACCACAATCTTCCTTTGTCTCACCTATTTGGATCATAGTTGCAGGCAAGCTGGCATGCTTAGTGCCTGGTGAGGGAGGGCCGGCTTCTCATAGGTATGTATCCATGATGGAAGAGACAAGCAGCTTAGGGGACCTCGCCTCATTTAATTACTTCCCAGAGGCCCAATTTCTTCATGCTATCAGCCAAAATGCACACAGTATTAAATTCTAGTATATGAGGGGATACCAGCACTCCAATGATGAAAGTTGCTCAGTCAGATGGGTAATGCTTATTGTCAGGAGTCAGACTTTTTTTTTAAAGACATTGGTCTGATTAAAAAAAAAATACAATATTGATTACATTTAACTTAATGTAATGACAGCCTTAGGATAAAATATATTTCTCTATTTTGTCTATCCTCCAGAGTATCAGCCTTCTAGTGGGTCTGAAGTAATGGCAGCCATCACATAGATACCTCATTTTTTAGTTCATTTTACCTCATTTTCAGTTTTTTTCTATAAAAAAATTATGGTCCACAGAGCACAACGTGTATCTCAGCCTTTAACTACTTAAATACAAAATTCAGTACTGTTATGAAATATACAAAATGTTATATAATCAGAAGTACCGATTTAATCCATCTTAAAAGGCCAAAATTCTATATCTATTCAACAACAGAGGTTTGTTTCCTGCCTGCCACCTGTTCTCATCACCATCCTGCTTTCTGACTCTGTTTTTGTTGTTCTCATTCCTTATGTAAGTAGAGTCATGCAAGGTTTGGCTTTGGCTTATGTCGTCTGGCAAAATGCCGCCAAGGTTTACCTATGTTGTTATGTGTATCAGGGTTTGTTCTTTTTAAAGGCTGAGTAATATTTCATATGAGAAGAGCATGTTTTGTTGGTCCATCTGTTAGTGGACACTTGGATTGCCTCTACTTTGGGGCTGCAGTGAATTTATTCTCGTTTTCACATGGGGCATCTTGATCTATTTCAGGGCAAGAAGTTGCCTTATCACCTTGGGGATGATGCAGAGGAAGGAGAAGTTTCTGATGAGGACAGTGCAGACGAAATTGAAGATGAGTGCAAGTTCAAGCTCCATTACGTGAGTTCATGGTTCCCCACCGTTTTGGCCCTTTATGTACTGCAGAAACAATGAAGTTGTTCCTCAAGTTGGCAGTGTGTTGGACTCCCCACAAATACGGTGTCTGTAGTGTGACAAGATGTTCTTTTAAAATTACTCTGTGCTAGCACCCAGCAGTCAGAGTGGTGCGTGAATGGAGTCTATGCCATTGAAAGGCATGTTAGCAGTGAACCCTCTGTCTGCATTAGTGTTTCTATCATGTGTAGAGACACTGTGACCATGGCAACTCTTAAAAAGGGAAACACTGGGACTGGCTTACAGTTCAGAGGTTTAGTCCGTTACCATCATATCACGGCAAGGAACATGGTGGCATGCAGATGGACATGGTGCTATACAGGTAGTTGAGAGTTCTACATCTGGCTTGGTAGGCAGCAGGAAGAGGGACAGTAGGCCTGGATTGAGCATTTGAAACCTCAAAGCTGCCCCCCCCACACAATGACATTCTTCCTCTAGTAAGGCCATACCTACTTCAACAAGGCCACACCTCCTAATAGTACCACTCCCTATGGGCCAATGGAGGCCATTTTCATTCAAACCACTACACAATCTGTCCCTGTTCTAGGGATAAACACATTTATTATAATCAAGCTGGAAGTCATACTGTGACTGGACCATCAGTCTTCTCGATGAACATGAGTAGGTGTGGCCTTGTCTCCCCTGCCAAATACCAGCTACCCATTGTCGAACCTTAGGCTGGCTCCAGGCCCCAGATGCACCTGGGTCAGCTTTTCAGGATACCAAAACCCTCACTGAGAAAGTACACCTTAGCCTAGACGATTTCCAAGCCTTTCCAAGAATGGGGCGTTTGGTTGAGTAAGTAGAATGGCATTTGAGGTTAGCCTGGGGATCTGGACCTTTTCTTACATAAAGGAGCCACATGTGCATTTTGCCATGGGGTTGTGGTGGGGTCAGTTTGAGCTTGGAGAAGAAGGCTTGGAAATGCTAACCCTTTACCACCAGCAGTCACATGATTTCCGGTGCCAAAGGACAAGCCCAAAGCACCGTAGGCTTCGCAGTATAGTTTCATTTCTACAGAAAAATGGTACTTTGTAGAAATCAGAGCCATTATTCTCTCCCCAGATACGTTTTATATGATCTAATATACACCATTACCCTGAATTCAACAATTATGTTGTTACAACAAGACACTATCTTCTAAATTACACTAACTCCAATGTTTCACCTCAGAGGTGGCGATGGGAGCTGACATTACTTTCAAAGGAGACAAGAGCTTAGTGACAGCTGAAATCTCTGTAGACATTTCTTTCTTGGCTTTAAAGTACTTTGAAAAGGGGGGGGGGATGGAGCAGATTCTGTTTGAAGAGAATGCAAAAATTGTGAACTGAATTCAGTTTTTCTTTTAACACAGTAGTTTCTTTTAATGCAGTTAAATACTGTAACTAATAGGTCAGAAAAACCTAGATATTTTCATAACTGAAAATATAGTTACTACATTAAGGTGTTTTTTTATATATGCTTCTCTAGGTATTTGTTATCTTCATTACTGATTCCTTCTGACCATGGATCATTTAATATTTTATTGTCTTATTTAATAAAACAGGCTTTTCTGATTCTTATTCTTTTACATCGAGTTCTTCAGATCCCTGGTTGCTAGTTGCATAGTCTACCATCTGACAGAGGAAGCGAAGCCCCTGGATCACCTGTTCGGGAACTGCTATTCTGTGACACAGAGAGGTGGAAGGTTTTAACCACCGTTACCGTGACAATGCGGCCATCTACTGCTGCACGCTAATGAGGCTAATCTAGCTCTTAGGTCCACTTGGCTGTACCAGCCTTTCTTTGAGTCTGTTGAGACTTTATCTGTCTGTCTGTCTGTCTGTCTGTCTGTCTGTCTGTCTGTCTGTCTGTCTAGTGGTACTCCAGGTCCTGGTGTTTGCTAGTCAAGAACTTTACCACATTACTATTGAGACATGTCCCCAGCCTTCTTTTAACTTTTTATTTTGAAATACGGCCTCACTTTTTTTTGCCCAGGCTGACCTTGAATTGGCTGATCCTCCTGCCATAGTTGGATATCAGTTCATGCTACCATACCTGACAACAATTTTAATCTTTTATAGTATGTATCTGGGGCTATGAAATTTTATTGTAGATATAGCACTATGGAAACAGATAAGTATTTGCAGCTCTAACCTCCAGGGATCTCTGCTTATGCTCAAAGTCTCTTGGCTGCTTTCCAGATTCTGATATAGATAAATGCTTTATAATATGGTTCCACAAAGATAGCCATGACCCTCCATTTGACCTGAGTAAAGCTGGGGGAGCACCCCGTTTCAAAGGCTTTATAGAGGCTTCTTTGTTATATATTGAGGAGCAAAATACATTAAAACAAACTCAACATTTTTAGGAGAAATATATAAAGTTCTTACTCAACCTTTGTTCTCTGTTTTTGAGCTCTTTTGAGAAAAGACAATGAATATCCTGTGTTAAAATTTGAGAGCATTGTAACCAGTCAGTTTATGCTCCGCTGGACTTCAGGGAACTCAGCTATCTTATCTAAGTGGAAGATTTAAGGATGTGTGATTATATTTCTACAAAACAATATACAGTGCAAGTTGTTCATATGGAAAAGCCATTACTCACAAAGCCATTCCTATAAAGGAAGTCCTTAACCTCAGCTGTAAGTTGAAAGTATATGGTTAGGCTAATAAGCCATATCTAAGGCAATGTAATACAGAAAGCTTTTAACACAATTCATGGATCTGAACATTAACTTTCATGAGCTTATTAAGATATTTTATGCATCTCACCATTTTTTACTGGGCATTTCCTGTTGGAGACGGGCCATCACCATTGTTGGTATTAGGTGATACTGGAGTGAATAAAATAGATGAGAATTTTGTCTCCTAGGGTTTAAGCATTAGTGAAAGAGAAAGAGACAGATAAGAAACAAGGGGAAAAATGAAATATGTAGTATGTTAGACATAAGTGCTAAAGGAAAAAATGGTGTATGTGTGTTGAATTTTCAGCTGGAATGTCTAAATGAAGCTTTCCTTAGAAGTTACATGTAACTAAAGACCTGGACAAAACAAAGAATTAGCCAGGTTAATACATGGAGAGAAAGTTCTAGGCAAAGCAAACCCAAGGCAAAGAGTAGGGCATGGATAGAGGCTCACCCAACATTACCTGCTGAACAGAGGCAGGCTTTCTCCTAATCTGTCAGACCCCTGAAATTCTTTGCTTAAGCAATGAATGTTTTCTGCTATACTTGACTCCTCTAAGCTTCCACCCTGTATTATTTTGTAGCTTTAGCCAGAGAAAGAATCTGGCTCGTGATATGTAAGCCACAGGGTAAAGCCAATGTGTGCAGTGACCCAAACACACAGCTCAGAGATGTAAGGGACAATTTCCTCTCTGCCACAGCGTACTAATCTAGCGGATTTGATGCCGGGCAGCCAGCTCACCATTATTCACAGTTATGGGATCCTCTGTGCCAGTGGGCAGCACAGACTTCCCACTCCTAAATTTCAACTTCATTGATTATTTTTTTTTTCTTGTTCTGTTGAGCTTTATCTGTTTCATTCTCAGAACGCTCTGGATCTGTGTTTAGCCAGGCTATTGGGCACAAGTATCAGCTCTCTCTTACATGACACTCGCCCCACAGAACCAGGCCTTCCAGCCCAAATTGATCCCAGTTGTGTCCCAGGCCCATTACAATACCCATTACATTTCATTATACTATACTCCGTTATTCACTGTGCCTCTCACTGAACATTTTAATCACTTTCCCTTTCCCTCAACTATAGTTGCAATGTCATCATCTTTCCTTTGAGACGTTTTAAGAAGCATTGTGAAGCATTGTTAGTCTCCAGCATGACAGCAATCATAGAGCAGAAGAGTTACCTCTCGGGACTCTGAGGTCTCGCTACCGCCGCGTCCACTCCAAGATGAAATGACACATGCTGAGCAGCAGGTCATATCCTAGCAACAAGTCACAAGGACTAGAAAAAGGGACCTGCATGATTCCAGTGTCTTCTGTTCTGTGATATGATTCTTGAACAGAAGAACATGTTTTATGGGAAGTAAGGACACTGGCAGGAGAGGGACAGAGTGAATGCAGACTCAGATGGCTAAAAAGCAGCTGCACTTCAACCCATGCCTTGAGGAAATGGGCTTGAAGTATTATAAGGCAATCGAAGGGGCAGCTAATACGTTTTTCTTGCCGTTCCCAGAGTTCAGTACAAGCACAGAAGAAGGCATTTGGAGAAGTTGAGATGGGCCCATATGTTTTTCTAAAGAGAAAGCCCTCAACTCCAGCCACATATTGGTATGAAGAGGGGCTTTCAGAAGTGTTAGTGCCTATGTCCTAGACCAGAGAGTTTGATAGTGGTCTTGGTGTCACCTGGGAATCTTGCCACTACCCTGGTGATTCCAATGTTTAGTGAAACATCAGTGCTCTCTAGCTCAATGTCTGATTTCTTCAGAGTCTGGCATGGGGAAAATTCGCCTTTCTAAATGGTTCTTTAGAAAAATAGTGCTAGGGGAAAATGAGAATGTGTTTGTTTGTTTGTTTGTTTGTTTAATTTTTTTATTGATTGATGAATGACATAGATTCCTAAATCTCTCAGAAAACTGAATTAGGGACCCGAATTGTATCTCTGGGAAAAACTACTCCTGACCATATTAAATGACTGTTCTCCATGCAGCATCCTTCCTCTGGCCCAGGGAACAAAAGAATGAGATACACAGAGCCCTCAGCTTTGGTCTCTGCCACAGCTGCACGGTGGCAGACAGGTCTTGAGGTCAGGTGCTGCCTGAATTTTCTTTTAGTGGTGCTGTTGGGTTCCGGGACTGAATGATAACACAGTAATGAAACCTCAGCTGCATATTTCTTTGTTCCTTGTGGCTGCAAATTTTGCAGTGATGAAAATCACAGAAAGAAAAAAAAAAAAAAAGATCACTAGGCAGGGTCCTCATTCCTTCAGCGAATCCCCACATTTAGAGGATGTGAAGTGAATACTGATAACGCTGTATTAGCCGTTCATTATTCCACCAGCACCAGCCATCCTGGGCTTTGTAGCTGTAGTCCTGCTTTTCTGACATGGCCAGAGTTCAGATCTTCATTGTGTCCTGCTTTCTGTGAGGCCCTGAGTGAGGAAAGGAAGCAGATGGTATTGGGAGAACTCTGTCCCTGGCTCTGGGCATTCTCAGCGTTCTTGCAAGCCTTTGCTTGCCAGCTTTCTCTCTGTGTCTCTACAAACCCTCCCCTCTAGGCTCAGGAGCACTTGATCAAATGCACTAGGAGTCAGAGAACTTGTAGCTCTTTTGTTGGGTCCACTCATGGCCTTAAGTGAAATATATTCAATGTTTTCTGCAGAGGGATTTCGGACTGTTTCCCATGTTTTACAATGATGAGTGTTTACAATATGAGCCAACTCAGCATCAACTCCAATCAAGAACTCAGCTTTTTCTGTCACAGTGTAAAGGGAATGGCTGCTGTATTGCTTGGGAGGTGTTACGGCTTGGAAGTGTCCCGGCTTGTTTCATTGTCATGATCCATAGCGCCGTGTCTGGTTGAACTCTGAGTCTTTGTCTGTGTCATCATGAGTGGGACTCGGCAGGACCTGGTGTTTACCTTAAAGGATGTTGGGTGGTTTGGAAAACGTGCTGTTAAAGAACGTTGCTTTGTAAGGTAGCCTGGTACAGACTCATACTCGTGCTTTCCAGACAGTCATACTATGTTTTGAGCCTTGAGTTATTATGTTGGACAGATGTTGCATTTTTTTTTACAAGTAGGTTTGCTGTGATGCTGCATTGAAAAGCGTATCAGCCCAAATTTTTCAATATGCGAGTGCACATATTGTGTCTCCATAGCACATTTTGCTAATTCTCACAATATTCTAAGTTTGATGATTATGTTGTCATTATATGTGACGCTCTCTGATTTTTTTTTTTTTTTTTTTTTTTTTGAGACAGGGTTTCTCTGTGTAGTCTGGCTGTCCTGGGTTCACTTTTGTAGTACAGGCTGGCCTCGAACTCACAGATATCCACCTGTCTCTGTCTCCCCAAGTGCTGGAATTATAGGTGTGTGCCACTGAGTCTGACTTCAGTCTCTGATTTTTGATGTCAGTATTCTCATTGTTTTGGTGACACCGTAAACTCACCCAAACTGTTAAAATGTATATTCTGAACTATTCACGAGGAGCTTGCTGCTCCTAGCTCTCTTCTGCTTGGTCTTTGCCGGTTCCTGATACACATCAGTATTGAAAGCTGGTTAATTAATAGCCTTACAATAGCTCGCAAGTGCTCAAGCAAAAGGTAGAGTTGCATGCTTCTCTCATCAGACCAAAGCTGGAAAGGATGAATCTCAAGGACAAAGGCACAGAAGCTGACAGGCGCAGAGCAAGGCCTCCCATGCTAAACACTTGGCCAAGTTGTAAACACAGAGGGAAGGTTGTTAAAGGAGATACTCAAATGAGAAGAGAGTGGGACGGCTTAGCATGGAGAAAGCTTTAGTGGTCTGGCTGAGAGATAAAGGTAATCTAGCCATAGCATTCCTGTTCGCTGAAGCCCGATCAGAGGCAAAATCCCAGATCCCTTCTGTTTAGCATCTTGAGAGGAGAGTGTCCTGGACGTAACCTGGTTGGCTCAAATCCAGTGGCAGCTGATTTAAGAGGAGAAGGCCAACCGATGGGCACACGCAGGCAAAGGCAGTGTGAAGACACAGGGAGAGATCGCTATGCTCTCACAAGCCAGGGAATGCAGGGAGCTACTGTCAATGAGAAGAGACAAGGACTTTGAGCTCCAAAGGGACTGTGACCCCACCTTGCTCCAAACTTCTGTCTTCCAGACTAATGATAAAATGCCGTTGTTGTTTCAAGTTGCTAAGTTTGAGTCTCTTGTTACTGTCACAGGAAATCGCTGTTTTCCTCTTTTAAGATACCTTTGTTTCATGTGTCTTCATGCCAGGAAGCTGGGTTCCAAGGCAGATAGAATGCCCCTCCTCTGTGCATCAGTGGTACCCATATGACTCATACTGACTTGTATGAGCAAGTCTCTGTGACACCAAGGGCTCTGACAGTGGATTGATCCCTTTTAGTGTTTCTTACCTAGTGTATAACATACAGTCAGTAAGTTTGTTTTAATCAAAATGAGTTTTCCCCCAAACTCTCTCTGGTCCTTATTACACGCCCACCCCCCAGTTCCCCGGCCTGGGTACTAATTAGTACCTGCCATGGCTCCTAGCGCGTCTGAATTTCCGTCTGCAGGCTCGTGTCCTCCATTGCCTTATGCAGTTATTTCTAAAGTATTATTTATGCAGAACTCTCAGCTGCCCCATCTTGTGACTTTCAAGTCCTTCAGTCCCCAAAGTACTTCCCTCTCCTCCGAACTCCTGAACCTCTCTAGAACACCTTTGGCTCATTTAAATCCTTCGTTTCCACTGTGTATCACAGGGAAGCCCTTTACTGCCTCACTGTTGAACACTTAGCTATCTGGTCAAACCTTTTCTGCTGGGGTCTTCTCAGCCACCTAGGAAGAATGGCATGTCCTTCCTAGCATCCCTGTGACTGATGGGCTGTGCTTGTTCACTTCTGAGGTCAAGTGCAGACTCTTTTTCACCTTTGTGTCTCCTTCAGAGCCTGATTCTATAATGGGTGGAATGCATTGCTGATTGGATATCTTAAACACACTGATGATTGTGATATAAGTATGGGTAAATGTAGCCTCTGCCCTCACATAGGTATTCTTCTTCTTCTTCTTTTTTAAATTCTTTTGAGGTTTATATTGCCTTGCTCTTGTAGGATCTTGTGAAATACATTCAGAATTAGAGAGCTAACTATTCTTTTGGGTCATATAGAAGGACCACCTAGTAATATATAATGTAGCACTTGTTCTTGTGGAATGGTACCTCTCCCTGCATGCTTGTGGTGGGTTGGTCTTTGGCAACTGGCTGAATAACCTGTGGAGCACATCTGGACAAAGGGAGTGGTGAAGGCAGCTAAGCATCAGAGGGCCTGTGCACACAGCCTGGTTCCACTGGTCTCTGAGAGGACATAGAGGTTGCTGCAGCAGACTTCCAGGAAATGATGTGCTTTGACCACCTAAAAGCTGTGTGGGGTACTGGCATTGCTTTGTTTCCTGAAAACCTTGAAATTGCTTGTGATTTTAAAAATGATCATAATAATGGGCCACAGCACTCGTCAATCTTGTGTGCCCTCTGATGACATCAAGGAGTTGGAAACCAGAAAGAAATTCTGTCTTAGAATTGTCAGCAGCCTTGGAACTTCCAAAGTGTTCTTTGCCTCTCAGTGAAGGAAGCCATTTTAAGAAATAGCATTTTTGACTCAACTATAACCATGTAGGTTTAGAAAGCTTAGTCTCAGGAAGTTTTCCCTGGCTTGCCCTCTATTGAAAGCTTGAAGAATCAGGAAGGAATGGTTTAGAAGCATGCCTCACTTACTAGCTCTGTATACCTTAAGCAATTTGCTTAATTTCTCAAGGCCTCAGATTCCATATCAGGGAAATAAAACAGAGTAAGACTTTGTACGTGTGACTAGTGTTGAACATGGATGTGAGGACTAATGCAGCACATGAAGAGTAGCCGACACAGAGTGAGGTTTTGATAATCAGGCACTTTGGAGGATTTGATTTTGTTTGTTTTGCCTAGGGGGAATAAACTTGTTCAATGAGTGTCTTAATTTCTTACAGGTTACTGAGAGATCATGGTATTGTAAAGTCAGTGTTGCCTTGGACAGAGGCATGCTGTATGTGAGTCTTTCTCAGGGGATTGTTTGTATCACTTGATTATTTGCAGAGTAACGGCACCACTGAGCACCAGGTAGAATCTTTCATACGGAAAAAGCTGGAGTCCCTGTTGAAGGAGTCTCAAATCCGAGACAAAGAAGATCCTGACAGTTTCACAGTGAGGGCTTTACTCAAGGCTACGCATGAAGGCTTAAACGCACACCTGAAGCAGGTAAACAATTTCCTCTTGAACTCATCTTTCAACAAGAAAAACAAAACAAAACAAAACATACCCTCCCTTTGGTTTCTAAGTATATTTCCTTTGTGAACTGCTTCTCAAATTTCTCTGTCTATCCTCACGAAGTTTGAGAAACAAAAATCCTCCTGCAAGATAAGGGAGAATGTATGCGATACTCTTAGAGCTTTCCTGGGGTAGAGTCATACTGACTCAAGGCAATGACTTCTATTCCAGATGGCATGAGGCAGCTCTGCTGTGTGCTGTTGGCCTAGGACCCTACTAAATGTATCCAATCTCACTCTTAAATCATTCCGGTCAGGACGATAACTGACATAGTCCTCTTACCAACAGATGGACTCTAAGAAACTCACAGGTTAAATGGCTCAGTCTTCTGAGCATTCTTTGGAGACCAAGAAAAGGGTCATGGCTTTGGTGGCAATCCTGTTTCTCCTAAATTAGGGAAAACCGTGTCAATTCTATGACCTACATTGGTGTCGGTACCTTCCTAATATCGTGGGGTTTGAATGTTAGTGACCGGTGTTACTAGGGCTCCATAGTCTGTGCACACGCATAAAGCAGTCAAGGATGAGTCCACAACTCCTGGAAGCCCCAGTCCCTACCCCCACCAAGAGCTCCTGGGTTCTTCCTTACTGTCTCTTCCAAGGATCGCACTAGTCATACTTGCCTGTGGCTTTAGCACATACTTCTTGCAGCTTATGTAAGCACGTGCTCGCCCACTTTTCTTCTGTTCAGTTGTTTCTCTCTGTTTAGCTGGGGTCCTTGGTGGGTAGGGTCTATAGGTCTTGACTCAATAACCTCCACACAACTGAAAAAGCATCCGAACCCTTTCAACAGGGCAGTCTCCTACCCCAGGTGGGCTAGCACAAAGGAGACTTGCTCACCATCTCTACCTGGAAAATTCACCCGTGTGAGCAGTCTTCAGAGGCTAAAATTTCACTCCTCAGTACTTGCCACCAGGTTCCAGTGCACAGATAAGCATCACAGTGCTTTCCTTAAATGAATGAAAGTGATATGACTGGGTTTTTATTTATAATATTTAAAATCCCAAACAGCAGTGTTCACCGTGAGTATTTTCTGTACTTATCTACCAGCTCTATCTACTTCCAGCTATTTTCCAAAATTGAAACTCAACTGGAAATGATTTATCTCTACTCAGGGTGTTCAAAACACCTCCTCTGACTTGAGGTGTGTGGTCAATAGGAACTGAGGGCTGGCACAGCTGGCTATTCTGAAAGCTGGACTCCAGCTTTGGGAAGCTATAGGCCGCTGCTGTGCCCTGGCATCCATGACAGTGTCCCCCTTCTTGCAGCAGAGACAGCCACATTTGAGCTATCAGAGGTGTGAAGTAGGAAGAAATGAACCAGGGAAAGAGAAGAGAGGGTCCCCTGCCATCTGCCAGAGCTAAGCAGAACAGAAAGAAAGAAAAATCATTACATCATGCTTTTATTTACCGCAGAACCTGGACGTGAAGGAAAGTGGAAAGAAGTCCCATGGGCGATCTCTGATGACGAACTTTGGGAAACACAAGGTATAAACTAAGAATGGTAAATGTGCATAATTCAGCTAAATTAAAGATTCTATAGGTAATAGGTAACATTGTATTGTGGTAACCTTAGAAGGGTTGACCAGGAAGGACTTAAGAAGGAGAAAAGTTTGAAATCTAAACAACTTAGAAATTTAGTAGCGCTGTTAGTCAAAAGTATGAAAATTCAACTTGTACTTTGGGAGTTCTTTAAATAAACATCGAACAAAGGACTCATATTCTGAATACTTGAATCATTTCTACATATAAGACAGGCAGGTCGCATTTCTAAAACACAAAACAAACTCAAAAGCGTAAGTGCACCCATTACAAAAGACAATAACACATGGCAGGGAAAAGAGAATCGCCTTTGGAAGCACCTGAGAAATGCAAATCATAGTTATTCTATCATTCCATGCCTACCATGATTGATGGCATGAAAAGACCACAGAAATCAAGTCTTAGGATACGGAGCAACATTTGAGTACTCTGCTGGGGTACAGAAACCACTCTGGCACACAGTGTAACAGTTCCTCTTTAGCAGTGCCACTGTTTGGTTTATGACAAAGACAGACAGGCTTATGGCATTTGTAATGGAGCAAGGAATAAACAGTTCAAATGCTCATTAACTATACAATCAATTGCAATGTGGTATATTCACGTCTGGACTTCTGTGAAGCCGTGAAGACACGGCTCTATCTATGTGCAATTATATGATCTTTCAAACATGATCTGAGCTGGAGAAGTAAAACTCAGAGTGCATGCAGTGTGGTTATCTTTGCTATGAAATTTCAAACCATGTAAAAATGCTGTAATGTAGAAGTTAAGATAATTATTAAGCATAGTTTCTGAGGGGACTGTAAGGACCAAGTGGGAAGGTCAGAAGGATTCTAGGGAGCAGGTAAGATTCTACATCCTCATTTGAGTGTTTTCACATTGTAGAAATCATTTTGTGCACTTAAAACTGTACTTTTGCAAATATAAGTGAAACCTTAATAAAGAGATGAAAATGTTATATAAGAAACCAGTCATTGGCCCAGTGAGATGGCTCAGCAGGTTGGGTGTTCGCTGCCAAACCTGATGACCCAAGTTCCTCATGACCTTTGTTTTGAGAAGAGATAAAATTATTCTGACACACTGTCCTCTGATTGTCCACATATGTAGACACACTGATACTAAACAAATGTAATTTTTAAAACTAATGAAGAAAATCAGATGTTAGATGATGAGCCGAACAGTGTTTGAGGGTTTTGGTGAGATCTTTTCTACTATTGTAAGGAATAGTTCTACCTGGAATTCCCTGTCTGTATGATAATTTAGGGAAATTAGTTAAGGCAATAAAAAATAAATCAAAAGCCAGACTGTTCTCTCACGAAGAGTGATGAAGTGAACCACGATCCACTTGCATAATGAGCAGGTGTGAAGTCGCGAGGGGCTGCCCTCTCTGAAGATCTTAGCGTACGAAACAGGAAACAAAAATGCTTGATGAAAACAGATGCTGGGTGTGATACACAATCTGATGTATATCATATATCAAAGCTATGTCAAAGTTATCAGCATTTATTGTTTTTGTTTCCTTCTTGGGGTAGCATCCTGCTGTGTAGCCCAGGCTGCCCATACCTACCATGTAGACCGGCTGGCCTTACATTCCCATTGAACCTCTTGCTTCCACCTCTCAAGAGCTCAGATTTCAGGTGTGCACCACCACGCTGGCTTTAGTTCTTAAGTTCTTGATTTTTATATGTTATAAGAAAAACCTTCCGAGGTAAACGTTTCAGAAGCAATTCAGCTACCAAAGAGTAGACATTTTCACACATCCGGCAATAACAGTAGGCTATGTGGTTGTTTGCAAATTATTTTAATATGTCCCAGTAACAATTTACATTGAAAATTAAAGTCAGTTGTTTGCAAAATAGCTTTGTATGTCATCTTATTTAATCATTGAAGTAATAATAATCCTGAGGAATGGATACTATCTACACACTAATTTTTAAAGTGTAGCAGGAAGCTGGACGAGGCTTGCTACTGCACCAGCGTGGTGAAAAGCTAACCTAGTTTGAGGACTGAGTTTGAACACTGAGGCTTCCGTATCGGAGGTTCTCCAGGCGAAATTATTTCCTGGAAGATTCAAAGTAGCTCCTCACTGTCAGTGTGCTGGGCATTTAATAGCTTGTCTTCAGTTCTGGGCAGTGAGAAAAGCTCGAAGCTGATGTGACCCTGTGGTGACATGGAGACAGTGTCCATTTGTAGACTCAGTCTCAGATGTCCAAAGCACACTGTCCAGATGGCTGGCCTTTGTAGCAGCTATGCGTGTGGTCCCAAGGCTCTCTGCAATGACTGGGGTCTCCATTGTTTGTTTTGTTGGGTCATGTGCTGTCTAAGTAATGAGCAGTCTCCAGCGTGGGGTTGAAACTACACTTCCCCCTCCCCCAACACCTGTCAGAAGACATCACATTGATTCTAGAGACCTTAGCTCATGTCCAATGAGTAGCAATTTTTATTTTACTATTAGAACTAAAAAATGGGTCACAAACTCAAAAGAGCAGTTTGATTTAGATGAGTGAGTATATGCTGATGGAAGGTAAAATGGCAGTCATTCTATTTTTAACTTAATACAAACCTATTTTAAGACACTTTATCACTTATCAGTGGTAAGCTTCTACACAGAAGGACATTTCCCCGTATAATTATTTAAAGAGATACTTTTGGGGGGTTGGGGATTTAGCTCAGTGATAGAGCGCTTGCCTTGCAAGCTCAAGGCCCTGGGTTCGGTCCTCCGCTTTGGGAAAAAAAAAAAAAGACAAAATAAAGAGATACTTTAATTTTGGTTCTCTCTTGTGGACACCTTTAAAGTACGTACCTAATGAAGTTTTTCTAAGATGTCGTTTTTATGTGGCTTAGAAACTTGCTTCTGGGCATGAAACTCTAAATTTTGCACTGCTGGTGCAAAATAAGGATGTCTATCCATGTGCTTTTTATTTAATGGTTAAGCAAGTAGCTGGTCAGTCTTTCTATATGTGTATCTGTGTGTGTGTGTGTATGTGTGTGTGTGTGTGTGTGTGTGTGTGTTAAAATCCAAAACTATTTCTGTATGTTGTGAGTATGCCTACCATGGTGAGTTTAAGTTAGTAAGTTTACTATGATTTTTTTCCAGCAGAAAAATACAAAATCACGTCCTAAATCCTATAGTACTGATGATGAAGAAGACATAGTTCAGAATCCTGGCAAGGAGGGAGGCCAGTTATACAGGTAAGAAAGCATCTTCATGCTTGTTGCTCAGACTCCCATGGCCTCTCCATCCGATTATCCTGGTTGCTTTACTTGTACATGCCTAGAGAATGGAACATACCAGGTAAGGTGTTGGAGTCAAATGTGAAGATCAAAATAAAGATACTATATGGAGGGAACATGGCCTCAGCGAGGGACTGAATAAGCGCCCACTGCAGTAGTTTTCAGGGGAAAGGCATCTTCAGAAAGGAAGATGGCGATGGCGGTGCAGATATGCAGAGGACAGGCAGAAGGGCTGAAGAATAGGATGGATGATAAGCGCATAGCTGGAGCCAGACTTTAGGTATTTGCTTCTCCCTTAACAGTCTTTAATACTGAGCAAGTCATGCTCTCTATCTCCTAGGGTCACAAATGATAAAAGGAATTAAAATTGGCATGGTAGGTCCCAAGCCCATTAAAGAATTGGTAAAAAAAAAAAAAAAAAAAAAAAAATAGCTGTTACTTCATTGTTTTTGGCAATTTTATTATTGTATAGGATTGTCTTAGCTATTTGGGGTTTTTTGTTTTTTCATATGAGGTTTAGAATTGTTCTATGAAGGTCTGTGAAAAATTGTGTTGCTTTTTAATGGGGAGTGCATTGAATCTGTAGATTGCATTCGGTAAGATGGACATTTTTACTATGTTAATCCTACTGATCCATGAGCATGGGAGATCTTTCCATCTTCTGGTATCTTCTTCAGTTTCTTTCTTCAGAGACTTGAAGTTCTTTTCATACAGGTCTTTTGACTTCCTTGGTTAGAGTCACACCAAGGTACTTTATATTATTTGTGGCTATTATGAAGGGTGTGGTTTACCTAATTTCTTTCTTGGCCCATTTGTCATTTATATATAGGTGGGCTACTGATTTTTTTGAGTTAATCTTGTATCCAGCCACTTTTCTGAAGGAGTTTATCAGCTGCAGGAGTTCTCTGGTGGAATTTTTGGGGTCGCTTATGTATACCATCATATCATCTGTGAATAGTGATACTTTAACTTCTTTCTGATTTGTATCCCTTTGCTCTCCTTAGTTGTCTTATTGTTCTAACTAGAACTTCCAGTACTATATTGAAGAGATATGGAGCGAGTGGGCAGCCTTGTCTTCTCCCTGATTTTAGTGGGATTGTTTAGAGTTTCTCTCCATTTAGTTTGATGTTGATTAACGGATTGTGGTACATTTACACAATGGAATACTACTCAGCCATTAAAAGCAACGAAATCATGAAATTTGCAGGCAGATGGATGGAACTAGAAAAGATCATCCTTAGTGAGGTAACACAGACGCAGAAAGACACACATGGTGTATACTCACTTATAAGCAGATTTTAGTCATATAATACAGGATAGACATACTATAATGCACAGACCCTAAGAAGATAAATCTAATGGACATCTTAGGCTTCATGTTGGCTCACTAGTTAGGGGAGTGGGTGATATCTCTGACACAGACTATCTCGCCTGCTTTTTGATCACTTCCTCCAATGGGACGTCTCTACAAGGCTACAGGAAAGGAAGACAAACAGTCCTCATGTGAATAAATGAGCTGGGTGTCTAGGTAGGTTGCCCCTATTCTGAGGAATAGGAGAGAGGGCATGCAGGAGGGAGGGTGGGACTGAGAGAAGAGGAGGGAGGGTCTGATGATGGAGATTTAAATGGAATTAACCAATTAAAAATAAAATAAAAGACAATTTTGTACACTAATGCACAATGTATTATGATCATATCTATCCATTATTACTTTCTCTCATATATATGTCCCACTCCTGCTGACTTACTTCTTCCCAACATGGCCTCCTCCTTCTTTCTTGTCTTCTTTTTGGACCCACTGAGATGAATTAGGATTATTGGCATGCATATGAGCAAGGAGTCATTTTCCAAATCGTGGGAGGCTTATCAGAAGCCATATCACTAAACAAAGTAAAACACCCTTCTTCCCAGAACCACTTAACTGCCAGGTGTTCCTCAGGCAGTGGTAGAACCTCATGATCTCCTCCCTCATCCATGATGGAATGTGGATGGTTCTGTGAAAGTCTTGTGCTGTTATCCACAGCTGCCGTGTGCTCAGAATTGAAATGGCCACATCAGAGCCCGAAGATGGTGCTTCAGAACACACCTCCTAGTCCTCTGATTCTTACATTCTTTCTCCCGTGCCTTCCACGATTTTCCCTAGGCATTGGAAAGGATGACACAGACGTTCCACATAGAGCAGAACACTCCACAGCAACTAATTCTCAGGACTTTGGCCAGTTACACATTTTTTTGTTAGCTGCTGCCCACAGGGAAGCTTCTCTGCTGAAGGCTGGGCGCAGCAGTAGTCTGTGGTTATATAAATGCATAGTTAGATAGCAGTTTGGCTACTTGTCCTGCTGGCCAAACAATAGTTGTAGGTTCCTCTGTAAGGTCTGTGACCTCCTCAGCTATAGGCTTTTCACCACCTTTACAGGACCAGACGCATATTTCCTTCCATGGAACAGTCCTCAAACCCTTTCAGAAAGCCAGTTACACACACACACAGCAATGGCACTATTGCTCCAGTGAGCATATCTTGCCTGGTGCATGGTCCTTAACTAGGTAAAACATCGACTTTTCTTCCACAGTGGCCCACAGAACACCCACGAGCACTGTAGAAGCTAATGAGCAAGACAGAAGCTTCTAGTCAGTTTCATGTTGATCTCTCCATGTCCCGCCACCAGGGTATACAGTTTCTTCAACAATAGAGTCTGGAGAAAATTCTCTGCCAGATATACATGTAATAGATGATGAATATCTAAAATATTCAGAGAACTAAAGCAAAACTAAGCATCACACAATGACACACAATGAGATGGACTGTGGATCCAAACAGAGTTTTCCTTTAGTTCTGAGAGGCAGCCGCAGCAATGGCGATAGACTGTTGTTTCAGGAGCTCCTGCGGTCTCGCTGGCCAACGATCCACAGGGAGCATCCTGTCGTTACTGCTGAAGTTCTCGTTTAGAGACTGAGGACTTCTGGGAGCAGTAGTATCCAGCCATGCAGACTACCTCCATTCAGACTTTTCAATTTGAATTTTGTCTTAAAAAAAAAAAAAAAACACATTAACTAAACCTGTCCTTTAACAATTCCGTACATGTATATAATGCATTCTGATTACTCTCACTCCTTACCCTCTCTTATCTTTTTTTCTACCCCTGTGAGCCCTCCCTACTTCCTATAAATCTTTTGCCCACATTTGTATCGTTCTGTTTTATGATTCAGTGAGTTGAACAGGCCTACCTCGTTGACCGTGGCTTTAGAACTAGCCACCAGAGCCGGGTGGGCTCACCACTAGTGGACACACACCCGAAGAGAATGACTTCCTTCCTCCTAGAATCTGTTCAGAGCCAGTAGTTCAATGGGGAGTGGCAAGGTCCCACTAGACCCTCCTTCTTCCGTGACCAACTGTTGTCCAGGCCCGTCTTGTTCGGGCTCCCTGCTGTGAGCTTCTGGTTGCCATGGCTGTCAGACTCAGGAGATGGCATTTCGCAGCCTTCTCCCTATCTTCTTCCTTTTCTCAGCCTCTGGTTCTTACAGTCTTTTTGCTTCTTCTTCTGCAGCATTCCTTGAACCTTAGATGGGGAAGTGTAAATGTCCTGTCCAGGACAGCATTCAACCGTCACTTATTCTCAGCACTGAGTAGCCATGAAAACCAACATTCACTGTTATCCACTACAACAAGACTCCTTGGGTTATGGCTGGAGGCAGCATTTGTCTATGTATAATCATAGAGAATTATAAATCTCTTTTTAGCTCTATCTCTTTATCTAAAAGTGGTAGTTAGCCCTTCTCTAGGTGTGTGACTTCCCCGGCCACCTCTTTTTGGTCTGCCTTACAGTACTGTGCATGGATGCTCTCCTGTGGAGAGGGCCTCAGCTTCAACCAAGCAGCAGGTAGTTAACCCCATCGTGGACTCATCTTGCCAGGCTGGTTAGAAGTGTAGTTTCCAGTGTTCACAACCCTAAAACCATTGGTGCTTTTTCCTTCCCACCCCGCTTGTTGCACTATGAAATCGAGTTGGTGTGGAGAAAACTGCCTGAGCACTTACCTGTTTCCCTTTCTTGTAACCAAGGTGTATGGTTTCCTTAGCAATTGTGTCTTCTCATCTAGTCCTGGTGGACAGCCTAGGGAAAGGCCATGAACTGTATCATATTGGAGGTCTCTGGGGCTTCCCTCAATTCACATAAAGGCATCTCACACCTGGCACTAAAGTTGGTATTTATTTACTCATGGCTTTCCAAGGGTGACATTATCTAGCCATGCAGGCCATCTCCTTATTAACTCTTTTTTTTTTAAATAGTGTTATTTAGTTAGCTTACAAATCGGTTTCTTTTAAAAATTTTAAAAAATATTCTCTCTCTCTGTGGCTGTGTGTGTGTCTGTGTGCGTTGCTCATGTTGTAGCATGCATGTGGAGGTCTGAGGACAGGTTGTGCAAGTTAATTCTTTCCTTCTGCCATGTGAGTTCTGTCACTCAAACTCGGGTTGTCAGACATGACAGCAAATTCCTTTATCCACTGAGCCTGCCAGCCTAAAGTAGTAGTAAGTAGTAGGGTTTTTGTTGTTGTTTGTTTGGTACTTTTTCATACATTCTTAGTTTGGACTAGCCTCCTCTACCTCCTTTCCTCCGTGCCCAACCCCATCCACGTTTAAACATCTCTACACCAAGTATTCCTCCCTCCCTTTGCCAGCCATACATTGGACAGAGGATTAACATGTAGAATATGCAGAGACCTGAAAAGACTAAATGTTAGACATGAGTTAATTTTTAAAAAATGACCTATGGAACCAAATAGAGAGTTATCAAAGGAAGAAACACAAGTAATTGATTGACAGTAGTGATTGGCGTCACTAGTCACTAGGGAGATGAGAATTATAACACTTTAATTTTTGATATTCATCTCACCCCAGTCAGAATGGCTACTATCAAGAAAACAAATGACAAAAATGATGGCGAGAATGAGAGGCAAGGGGACTCTTTATTCACTGTTGGAGGAGTATAAAACTGATATAGCCACAATGGAAATCGGCTTGGAATTTCTCAAAAATTAGATGTGGAACTTCCATATGACTTAGCCACACTTCTGGCCATTTACCCAAAGGACTCAGAATAGCTTCTCATAGAGATACCTGCACAACCATGTTCATTGCTGCTCTATTCATAACATCTAGGAAATTGGATCAGCTCATATGTCTACCAGCTCCTGAATTATAATGAAAATGTGCACTTAAACATAGCGAAGCCCTATTCAGCACTATATAAACATGAAGTTATGAAATTTATAGGAAGACAGACATAACTGGAACATGTGATACTGAACGAGGTAACCTAAACCCAGAAAGGCAAACACTGCAATTTCTGTCTCATATGCAGATCCCCACTTTACATTTTTAGGTTTCTGTATCTAAGTTGAGCTAAGTGCTTGTATAGGCCAAGAATCAAGAAAGAAGCCCAGAGGTGGGAAATAGGGAGGCCCTAAAAGAAGGGCTAGATCAAGCTTATGATCTGAAAATAGAGAGGTGTGGATAGGTTCCTGTTCCCTGCTTTTAAGCTATTCCAGTAGTATTTATAATGACTGTTTTCAGAACCTAACTGTGGCCCAGGGTATAATCAGGACATCCTGGCAGTCACGAAGTAACATAAACCATATTGTGGGTAGGTAGATAGGTGTGGATGGAGAGATGGACATGTGTGCATGTGCAAACACACACACAAATGCATACACAGACACACTCACGGACACACACACACACACACACACACACACACACACCTTTGTCTCTTTTCTGAATAGAGAAGTTAAAGCCATAGAGGCCTTATAGAAATGTAACAGTAGTGCTCAGGTAGAATTTATATTTGAGCTCTAATGGGATATATATGCACCAGACACTGATTAGTAAGGGCAGAGAAGAAAATTTGAATATTAGTTACAGTAGAAGATGCAGGAGAGAGAAGACCTTTCAGAAGACCTTTACTATTTTTAAATCAAAGTGTCTGGCACACAGCTAGGGAAGGGGCAATGTTTGAAAAGCCATATGATTCTTTGTGCATTCAAATGAGATGCCATTGCAAGTGCCACATGAAATCAGGTTACATGCTGCTCTTGAATCAATTAGAGATTTGCCCCTAATACCTGAGAGAAGCCTGAGCATCTCAGATGGTCACCTTGGGACTTTGTTAACCCAGCTCACTATCTGGATAAGGAGGAGGAGGAGAAAGAGCTAAATTTATGTAGAATGTCTCTTTTAAAAATTCTATCTATCTATCTATCTATCTATCTATCTATCTATCTATCTATCTATCACAATTTATTCACTTTGTATCCCCACTGCAGCCCCCTCCCTCATCTCCTCCCAGTCCCACCCACCTTCCCTCCCTCTTCTCCCCCATGCCCTTTCCCTAGTCCACTGATAGGGGAGGACCTCCTCCCCTTCTATCTGACCCTAGTCTATCAGGTCTCATCAGGACTGGCTGCATCATCTTCCTTTGTGGTCTGGCAAGGCTGCCCCCCTCCCCCAGGGAGAGGGGATCAAAGAGCCAGCCACTGAGTTTGTGTCAGAGACAGTCCCTGTACCCCTTAATAGAGAACCCACTTGGAAACTGAGCTGCATCTGAACAGGGAGTCTAGAATGTCTCAAATGCTACAGGCTGTCTTGGGAGTTTTGCTTGTGAATTTTAAGCATGATCTCATACTAACTCATAATCATTAGACTTTTACAAGTTCAGCAATGACTGCTGGGCTTCCTACCTTAGTTATAGCTATTCTAATAGACAATACATAGTACTTCTTGGACTGTTTGCACTTTGCTGTTGACTACTGGTGTTTGTTGATCATCATCCTGGGAGCTTCTTGGCCATTTGAATGGTGTTGCCGAGCATTGATGGGTTTGATAGTTAAATTTTCCCTATAGGAGAAACGTGTGTATGAATCAGCAATGAGGTGGCCTGTGGAGATTTTGCTGTGGTAAATAGTAGTGGTTGAATATGTAAGGATATATAGTTGAGATTCAAGAGATGTTTTGTAGGTAGGTAGAAAACTTAGAAGGTACCTAGGAAAGCTAAATTTCACATAATACAATGTATTTATTTAAACAGTATCTAAAAATATTTGTAATTGTGTTTCTAAAAAAAATCATTGAGAAATTTTGGTTCATTTTATTTTAGGCATTTAGGTTTTGTGGCCCACATGTTTCCACACCTGTTTAGTCTAGCTGTTTTCTCAGATTACTCCCTAGTGAGGCAACTGTAGAACCAATCCTTTACAAGAAAAGCCACCAAGGCTGATCTTCAGGAGAGCCTGATAACTATGATGGCAGGACGGTGGAGACATAGGAGAAGTACTGAATGAGGAGTCAGAGCTGGGTTCTGGTCCTGCTTTCAGTAGGTCTCAAGGAGGGTCACTTGTTTATTCTTTTAAAAGGGAAGGTCATCGGACTGGGAGCTCACAACCCGTCCATCTCTAACTCGCTCACTCTGTCTACCCTGCAGGCTGGGCCGCCGAAGGAGAACCATGAAGCTTTGCAGAGAGCTCTCAGACTTGGTGGTGTACACAAACTCCGTGGCAGCCCAGGATATTGTGGATGATGGTAAGGCCCGAGACTCTGCGAGTTACTGTTTTCACTGAGCAGATCCTTCCCGCTCACACCTGGGACTGTATAGAGTCTCATTTGTCAGGAAAATGCTAGCCAGCCTGATTCCAAACTCACATGTGTGGCTGCATTGATTACTGGTAGGTGCCTGATTGCCCGGAGGTTGGAGAAGTTTCCTAGAGGGAGGAGAAGGATTCTACTGTTATGAAAGACAGAGGCAACAGAGGCAGGTCTCACTGTGAAGACCTGACCTACCTTCATGACCAGGTCACAGATGGCCTGGCCGTTTCAAGTGTGAATGAACAGAAGAAGGAGTAAATTAATTAGCTACAATGCCCTAGAGAGGCTGTATTTTCTCATTAAACATTTTGACTTTGAACAAAATGGCTTATTTCACTGGCTGAAATTTTAACAAAAAGAATAGACATATTTCAGTGTCATTTTTTTTTTCTCACGGATTTTCCTTTGTTTTCTTTTTTTTTTTAAAAAAAGATTTATTTATTGTGTGTTTATGAGTGATTTGTCTACGTGTATGTGTACCACATGCGTGGTTGGTGTCTGTGGCCAGAAGTGGATATTAGATCTCCTGGAATTAGAGTTACCAATGACTTTTAGCCACCATGTGCGTGTTGGGAATCAAACCGAGGTCTTGGCAAGCGCTCTTAGCTCAGAGCCGTCTCTCCAGCGTGCTTCACTGTTTCCACCTGGGTCAAGCTGACAGGGCCTAGTCACAGCCACCCTCATTTTGAGTCTCCCAACTATTCTTTCTTTCCTTGGCTTTTGTTTTATTCCATTACCAAATTTTTATTGAGGTACAGTAATCTTGTGGCTCTTCAGTTTTAATTTTAGTGAAGTGAAATGGAAATCAGAATGTCCATTTTCTCAGTGGTTTCAGCACAAAGACAGCAGTAGAGGACAAGGCTCTTGTCCTCACAGGCCTCACACTCTAAACTCTGTTCTTTTTTTCTTGGCCACAGTCCACAAGTACATCTTTTTCTATTCATTGAAAGATGACTTTTCTTTCACCTGGGTTTATATTCCTTCTTAAAACAAAAGCAATTATACAAAATTTAAATAAACACTGTCTGTGAGAAGGTGAAAAACCTCAAGACATTCAACCAGCAAGAGCCGCTTTCTGTTAATGACTGCCCATAGCTCCCAGATTAATCCACGGATTGGCTGAATGGAGCTGAAGGTATAGCTGATTGACAAAATGAACATGTTGATTAAAAAGTGCTTTTGGAAATCACAAGCCTAATAGCTTTGGGAACATAATCTTGAGGACTGTTTACCTCTTAAACTTTATCTGGCTTGTCTTCTTTTTTTTTTTTTTTTAAAGACAGAAAAGATGAGCAGCATATAATGAGTATAAATAGCTTATCTTTATACAAAACAATAAATCCCATTAAAATTCCTAATACTCTTATTAGGCAAGGTTTATATGATTCTCCATATAAACAGGCCCACATTAGTGATGTCATTGTGGGCCTGTTTATATGGAGAATCATAAAAAAAACCCAGATATTGATTACAGTGATGCTCCATATAAACTGGGTTTATCACTAAGTATATTTCCTCCAATTTTTTCAAAGCATTCTCTTATCAGAATCTACACATACATTCAATTTTAGTTTTGTTAAGATGCATAAGCTCTGTTCATGTATTCTGTCAGTAATATATATATTAATAACTATTTTAACCTCTTGTTCCATCGAGCAGCTGAGCTCAGTCAGTTGCTCTGGCTCCTGTCCTAAGGAGGGTTCAGGCAGCACACATGAGTTGCCACCAGCCAGGATGTCTCTGAGTTTCATATTTCCTGTCACTGTCTTTCTGTTGCTCTCTATATCACTTGTCACATAGTGGGTGAGTCACTCTGAACCCATTCTGACTCTGGGGTGGTTTAATTTGTGAAAGATCTTTAACAGATTTACTATGTCTAAAGTCTTTCCTTCAAGAGGTTGGACCCACTTCTGTGTTGGTCATCAGTGGGCTCTGGCATAACCCAGTCTTTTGTGAATGTTGGCTTTGATGCATTTACCACTTTGCCTATTTCTTTGGCTGCTAGGCACCACAGGGAATGTGTTGTCCTTCAGCGAAACAAGAGCACACCAAGTGGTTCAGCAGAAGTCAGAGCAATTCATGATCTACAACCAAAAACAGCTCACAAGGATTTACCCATCCGCCTACCGCATTGACTCCAGTAACTTCAACCCTCTGCCCTATTGGAATGCAGGCTGCCAGCTAGGTACGTAAGGCCAGAGAGGAGAGGTCCTCTGCATTCTCCCCCTGCCTTGCTAATTGTAAGTTGTTTCTACTCCTGTCGAACTTTCAATTTTCCCAGTGGCTCTCAACTACCAGTCTGAAGGGCGCATGATGCAGTTAAATCGAGCAAAATTCAAGGCTAATGGCAACTGTGGCTACATTCTCAAGCCCCAGCAGATGTGCAAAGGTAAGCACCAATTTCCTCGCTGTGTCCGTGAGTGCAGGTGATAACCTGCTCTTTACATGTTAAGGTTTACTATTGTTGTTAATGTGGGCATGTGTGTTTATATGTATGTGAGTAGAAGTTTATATATATATGAGGAGAAGTCAGAGGACAGATTTGCAGAGTCTGTTCTCTCCTTCCACCATTATGGGTGCCAGGGATGTGCTCAGGCCATCAGGCTTCAAGGCAAGCCTGTTACCCACTGGATTGGATTAGTGGAAGTTAGGTAGTAAAGTCTCTGTTCTTTATGTCATTTCAGATTTTCTTTCTGATCCTTGTTTTTTTTTTTTCTAGACTTGAGATAGCTTAGAAAATTGTTGGGATCTCTCATACCTGTCCTTGTAATGGTTACAGGCATTTTAAAAAATTGTTTATCCATGTCATGGTTGCCCTGTAAACATTTGCTTTAACATAGCCCATCCCCTGGCTTCTGGGAACAGAGTGTAGTGAAAAATACAGCTGTGGACTGCCTGTGCTTCTGCTTTTGAAAGTTACCTTGATAGTTACATGATAATTTCTTGTTCTAGCAGACACTATGACCTGACACTGTTGATGACAAACTTAAACTCTGTGTGTGTGTGTGTGTCCCTGTATGTACGTGTTTTTATCCTACTGACCTTTGCTTTACTTGGCTTAGGTACTTTCAACCCTTTCTCTGGTGATCCGCTTCCTGCCAACCCCAAAAAACAGCTCATACTGAAAGTGATCAGTGGACAGCAACTTCCCAAACCTCCTGACTCAATGTTTGGAGACCGAGGCGAGGTAGGCTACACCTGACTGCCTCACTAGTTAAATACGAGGTTACTTTATTATGGTTAAGCAGCCCTCTGTGTCTTCAGAGGTATGTGCGTTTCTGTGTGTTGGAAGGTATGGATATTTGTGTACCAGTAAGTGTGCGTGTTTCGAAGTGAGCACTGACCTCCGCTTCTCAGACGTGAGCTAGTTTTCTGTCAGTTACACAGAGTTCCTGCAGGGCTGTATGGATCACCTGTTCTGGAGGTATGCCATTAGTTCACAGTTCGAGACTGATGCTGACAGTGCTGAAAGCAGGATGTAAAGAACAAAGGCTAAGTTCATTATTGACGGAAACATGGCCAAAAGCACATACTCAGTCTCAGATTCCACATGCCCAGCAGCCTTCCTCACTGCTGCTTGCTCCTTGGCCTCATGCTTTGTGTCCACATGCAGACTGCTGTCACCGGCTGCTGGGCCTCTGTTACAGGATACAGTGGCCTTTTGTTTTCTCCTTGCTGGTCAGTCCTATTTCCATGTCCTCCTCTCGGGGCTGGCTCATGACTGTAGGTTCTCTGCACTCTAACCTCCTCAGCTTTCATGTCTGGGTCTTGCGGTTGGGGCCACACAGCTCTGCATGTTCATACTACTGCGAATTTCCTTTGTGTCACTCTTCGTGTGACCTGTGTGCAATGCTGTGCGGGCGGTACTGTAATACGCACACTTCCGCCTCCTAGCCTCACTCCGTTCTTCCTAATAGCTCTCTGTAATCCCTCTGTACTTACTGACAGCACAGTGCCCTCCTCCTCAGAGAGGAAAGCAACAGACAGGGCCACACCTCCGTGTCTGCTATCGCTGTCTCCCATGGACTCATCACTCGGCTTTCCTGCCTTGCTTTTACCCCCTGCTCTGCGTTTGACAGCAGAATAGTGAATTGGTATAATCAGAAAGTTTATGCTGACTTAATTCCACTCTTCACTCATATATCGGTATCTGCGAAACCCGGTTCTATCATTTCTTTTAGTAAGCAGGTAGTAAACTTTAAATGTTCCTGAAATGTGAACACTTGGCTAGTGTTTTTCTCAGAATAATTAACAGCTGTGTTCATGTGGCAATGGCAATACTACTTCCTCTTCCTTATACAGATCATTGACCCTTTTGTTGAAGTTGAAATTATTGGGCTTCCAGTAGACTGCTGCAAGGATCAAACTCGTGTAGTGGATGACAATGGTAAGATGGCGGTCAGTATGCCCTCCCGAGGACGTGCTCTGACGCCACAGTGCACTGACAAGTGTGCTGTGTGGAAGAGCAAGATGGCTGAGGTCTAGAGCTGCCATCCAAATGAATGCTCAACACGTTGATCAAACGTCAACCACTCTGTAAGTTTCCAGTGCCTTTCTGAAAAAGCAGAGTAAGTTTTACCAAACATATGCATTCAGTAATCAACCATTTTGCACTATAAAAAGCCTCAAGCTCATCAAGCAATGACAGGTTTAGTCAGTTTTCTTTGCTTTTGTCCTTGCTGTTTGTTTGTTTGTCTGTTTGTTTTTGAACATGAAAATATATAAAGATTGAGCCTGAATGTTCTGGCACATTCATTTCTTCAATATGGTGAGTAGCCAGCATTTCAGTAATGGCAAGAAGGCATTACCTTTACCCAAGTCTAGCATAGTTTTCTGGGTAATCTTATAAAATTGTTTTTGTTCTATATTTGGCAAGTATTTCATACATATTTTCTTAAGTTAGAAAAGCTAATATTCTAAAATAATTTGGAATCATGGTTCATCAAAACGTTTGAGACATCAGTGTTTCATAGGGAACCCTTCAAGGAATGTTAGTTTTTCAAGAGAAGGGTGAGCTAATGAAGAAACAACATTCTTAAAGAAGCCCTTCCTAGGTGGGATTGTCTCAGGGCTCAAGAAAGTATTCCTTCTTTTCTTAGTTGCAGCAGTAACTGAGAGGTCATTACAACCTTAACCAAAAAAAAAGATAATCTCCTTTGTTCACTAGAAGACTCTGGTTTTCAGCCTGTCATTTTTTAATGAGCTAGAGGCCATTTATAGTGCAAAGCAGTTGACTCCTCCTGAATGCATATGTTTGATAGAACTTTTCTCTTTCAGAAAGGAGCAGATAGACCTTTTTTTGTAGTTTTCTGTAATTATTTTGCCAGAGAAAATTTTTCCAAGAAATACATATCTTTTGTCATTTAGTATTTAGCTTCATCACATTTTCCATTATTCTAGTAGTACTTGAGCTGAGTCCTTATGCAGGAAATAAGTTCATAAAAAAGACCCCATGGTTTTGGAGGCTGGAGGTCTAAGCAACGTGGTATTGGCTTTTGGGAGGGCTGTCAGACTGATTCCCACCATGGCAGGCAGCATCATGGTAGGATTATGTGTGAGAGAAAACATATGGCAACTTAGGAATTTGGAGGCAGACAGGCTTGCTATGTAACAGTACCACTGGAAACTTACCAGTGTCTGGTAAGGAATCATCAACAAATTCTGGGCAAAAGACCACCTTCACACTTGGCTGTACACCATGACATAGTCACAGTGGCTGTGAAGACTGCCACTGAAAAATTCTTAGAGGACGAAACACATGCAAGTAGTTGTTTATTTTCAGTGTGGAAAGAGAGCCAGTTCTTGCTTCATGAGAAGCCACTAAGAATGCGCAGCTTACAGTCTATAGACCTCTTACTCACTGTATGATCTTAGACACATTTCTGTGAACAGCAGTTCTCTAAGCTATATAATGAGTTACAAATATTTTGGACTTTCAAAAGTATGGGCATGTGTTACTCTTGCAACTTTGGAAAGTTATAGTTTGAAACTTGATTAACGTATGTATGTTTTTCTTACGTAGACAAAACCAAGCTGGGTGTGGTGGCTGGTTTGTAACCCCAGCTCGTGGGAGGTGGAGAGAGGAGGATCATGAATTCAAAGCAAACCTGGACTACTGAATGAAACCCTGTCTCAAAAAAAAAAAAAAAAAAAAAAAGACAAAGGAAACCCACAAGCCCCTGCCCTGCTACTCTTAAAGGGTTTCTGTAGGAATTAAATAGGACTATATGTACACAATAGAATAGAAAGTTACAAAGCACTTCATGAGTAGATCTTGATGGTTAGTTACTCCAGCAGAAGAAGCTTTGGTACATAAAAAATATGATTCTCTCAGGGGTAACTTTCTGTAATGTTTCTGTTAAAATACTCTTAGAATACTACTATAATTTTTAAGCTTATTGAAGTATTTTACTGACTTAATACAATGGGCATCAGAGATCAATATAATTGATGTGAAAATTTACAGGCCTTCTCCTACCAATTATTTTTGAGCAGTGGGGTAAACGCAGAGGCTTTCCTGCAGCAGGGCATCCTAGAGAGAGGTTCGGCCATCTTCATGAGTTTAATAACCAGTACAAGCAATCTTCGCTGTCTGCTCTACAGACATTGCTGCTAAATCGTTTCCAGCCACGTTCTTTGCTTTTCTTCTGATTTTTCTTTTTCTTTTTTTCCTGTTTTTCTAAGGATTTAACCCTGTGTGGGAAGAAACCCTAACATTTACAGTCCACATGCCAGAAATAGCTTTAGTTCGGTTCCTTGTGTGGGATCATGATCCTATTGGAAGAGACTTCGTGGGACAGAGGACTGTTACCTTTAGCAGCCTCGTACCTGGTAGGTATAAGGTGGATTTTTATATGTAGATTGGCTATTCCTTTTTTTTGGTTTTGGTTTTGGTTTTCTACTGGTGGGGGAGAAATTTCTGGGGTCTAGCATGTGCTTGGTTAATCTTTGAAAGATTGAATACATTACATAGGGCCAAGAGGATATTTATCAAATTTATTATAGAAATTAAACTGAGTGTTTATATGATAGATGTGGTGTCATATGCTGTATAAAATATGAAGAATGATAATTAAGACGGAGCCTTAATTCTCTTGTACTCTCTGGAAAATCAAATGCAAATTCAGCGGAATGAACCAATTTTTTTGTTTTTCTTTTGCAGGCTACCGGCATGTCTATTTGGAAGGACTCACAGAAGCATCCATTTTTGTTCACATAACAATCAATGAGATCTTTGGAAAGGTGAGAAAGATCATAGTCATTCAACAATAATGTGGATTTCAAGAAAGTTAGCAATTTCATAAAAGAAATGTACATTTGACCAGGTTTTCTTTTGTGGGTGTCTGAGCTCAGCAAGCTCGGGCAGTGCTCCACCCGTGCTCCTCCCTCTACTCGGCTGTGCTCATTCCATCCTCCCAGAGGTTCGCCTCGATGTTTAATAGAGTTGAGAAGACTATCACACTTTCAGGCAATCATTTTGATGAAAATAATGAAGACTGTTAAAATTTGTATTTTATTGTAATTCTAAAAAAAAAAAAAAAACATTTTCTACAGAAGGAAATGTGGTGACATCTCAGAGTTTTGATGAATGGCCTATGCTAATCTGGCTATGATTCCAGCCAGATCTAGGTGGGATGCATTCATATGGAACAACTATAAATTGAAAATCAAAAAGAGAAAGGAAAAAAAAAAGCGAATGGATTTAAAACTACTTACAGAAGAAACTGAGAGAGGAAATCATGGTGGAGATAGAGGGGGAGGTTGAATGGAAGAGGGAGGGAAATAGGGAGAGCGAGATAGGGAGAAAGGGAGGCAAAAATATCACAAAAAAAATGTAGTTCTGCCTAGTTCTCTCTCCCTTCGCTGCAGAATGAGATGGTGCTTTACACAGCAGCAGGTGGGCCTCTGGCCCTGCCAAGTGCTGGCGACTTGGGCCCTGCTGTGTATTTTCAGCACTAGATGTGGCTTGGAGGGAATGTAGAATGGAGCAGTGCCCAGGACTGCCCCCATGCTGCTTGCTGCTATACTCTGTGCTGCCCGGAGCGTCCCCAGAGTATTGGCGTTCTTTCTGAATCCACTTTCCATGTATAAATGTGAGGTAAAAATAATACCTGCCTCATAAATAAGTCTATTATTCTTTGAAAGTTGCCTGGCATGGACTGAAGGATCATACTATTGGCTAATATTGGTATCACTGTGACCACAGTCTCACTGGGGGATTGACATGGGAAGGGTAGGTTTACCCTCATATAGCCTTCCTCCAAAGGGAACAAATGATTTTTATTTCTGAAAATGCTGAAGGTAAAAACTTTCAATCTTGAGTTTGTATGTATACAGCTTGTTGGGCTTTTTCTGTTATATATGTTTCTATTTATATAAATGACTACATAGAAACATATATAAATGTTTATATATGTTATTAACACATATAAATAGAAACATATATACATGATTTGAAGATGCCTGAGTTCTCTTAAGCCAAGTTTAACTATATAATGTTTCTAACTCTCATCAGGATGGAGAGAAACAATAAGGTGCAGCGTTTGTTTAGAACTCAGCCCAGAAATAAAATACAAATAAAGTATTCTATGTAATTTTTGTTTTATTTCTAACTAACTGACCAACTTTGAGTCATTTATCATTTCCAATACATGTTTGGGTTGGGACGCTCATACCATAGTGTTATGGATTTGAGCTGAACAGGGAGTGGACAGAGGAGGAAAATTATTAGAAGTGGGAAGAAAGGCTTCTGCAGATGAGCACATTTTTCTCTTGTGTTTACTGGTACCACCTACTTGAATGAGCCCAAATTGTGTTTTGTTTTGTTTTTGTTTTTTCCCTTGCAGTGGAGCCCTTTAATCCTCAACCCCAGTTATACCATATTGCACTTTCTAGGAGCTACAAAGGTAGTTTGTCAGCATGGCCCTGCATTCTCCCTGGCATACCCTTTTAAAATGACTATGGTAGCATGCCTCCTCATGTCTCTCCATCTCTGCTTACCATGTTGAAATTCACATTTGTTGCTTCAAGGCTGCTGAAGTTTTGTCAGTTTGTTACCTGTGGAAACTTTTCTACCGTTTTATCATCTCTGGGTAGGAAAGTCCTGAAAAGGTTGGCTATGAAACTGAGATTGCCTTTCTCACAGATAAGTTGGTGAGATGTGCATGGTCCTGTATGAACCCGCTGTGAGCTGCTTTCTTATTTCAATCCATGGTTATAAAATTTCACTCCATATTCATTCTTCATGGAGCTGTCATTTCCAACACAAGTTGTTCTTGTGATGGCATGTGCTTAATTTGTGGTTGGTCCTTTTGTGTCCTCAGAACAGACAGCTCCAAGGTTTGAAGGGACTGTTCAATAAGAACCCCAGGCACGGTTCTTCAGAAAACAACTCCCATTACATTCGGAAGCGATCCATTGGAGATAGAATTCTGCGACGTACAGCCAGTGCCCCAGCCAAAGGCAGGAAAAAGAGCAAAGTGGGCTTCCAAGAAATGGTTGAGATAAAAGATTCTGTCTCTGAAGCCACAAGAGATCAAGATGGTATCCTGAGGAGGACCACACGGAGTCTGCAAGTACGCCCTGTCTCTATGCCTGTTGACAAGAGTCTTCTGGGGGCTTTGTCACTGCCTATATCTGAAGCAGCAAAAGACATGGATGGAAAAGAAAATTCTCTGGGTAAGATGCTTTCAGTTTTTCTAGGCTGCTTTTTTTGTCCCTTGTTTACATTATGACAGGGCTACCATTCTCTAATTAAAATATTCTGAAAAATAAACAATTTTTAATGTTAATTCTATGCAAGAAGATTTCAATCTTTAGGTAAGAAAGCAAAAATGAGCTGTTTCCTCCTCTACTATGGCCTTTAAATAACATTTCCATCTGTGGAGAGGGAGAGGAACATCAGGTGTAATGGATTAGAACATGCCAGTCTGAAGAAGAGAGCTACAAAATATAATAAGGGTTGGTTTTCTAAGTGGTAGCATATTTGGAGCAGGGACAAGGGGTTTAAAGAGGTATTATTCTGAGATTCCCCCATGGTCCAGTGGACTCATCCTGGCTTTCCTGATATTGAATGTAGCTGCATTACTCTTCACTATTAAAACGTCTATGGTTGGAAATGTTTATGGTGAAAGGATGCTGTGAAAAACAAAACAAACCACACCATCCTTAAGGTCTGGTCGAGGCAGCATTTTCCTCCTGCGACCCCACTTCTCTGCACTAGATAGGAGCTGAGAAGGAGATGTGTTCATGGCTATTTCTCATTTGTAGGCTCCACAAGTATAGGAATTGGGAGCCATCTTTTTCCTTAATTTGGAGTATCATGGACTCATTTGAGCAACTTGATGATGAGCAATGACCATTTTACATAGTGACAAAGAACTCTTAAATTTGTACCATTGACTTTTCCTATTCCAAAACTGTGTCCATTGACTGTCTCTACAATTATCTCAGACAAATAGAATGTAATGCCTAGTTTTTGCATCTTAGCAAAATTGGTCTTTATCTAAACAATATAATTTCTATGATTTGTTTGCCCACAAATGTTGTTTTGCTTGTATTGGTTCTTATAAGAAGTTATACAGAGAAAAGAAAAGCCAGTTCTTGAATTATTAGAAGAATGGAGAGAAGCAAAGCTTGAAAATTTCCTAATTTGCAAGGCCCTGGAGTCTACCTAGCACTGGAAAAAATGTTAGAAATTTTACTAAGAGTAGTGTCAGAGAAAAGAGGACAGACGTGGCTCTAAATTTATTATAAAAACCCTCTTCATCAAAGTTAAACTATGTTCAGTAGAAATTTGTACTAATTAGTCTTTAGCTGCAGAAGATGCTAAGCCAAGATGATGATCTGGGAAGCGAGGGAGAGACAGTGCTTCCTCCCTGCATTTGAAATAATGTGAGAATTAATCACGTGTTAAACTTACAGCACATGTGGAAAGGTACCTAATTGTTGCAGTGATCCCAGATACACTGCAGAAAACAAAGAAGATGCAGTAGAGAAACAGCAGAATACAAGTTCTAAATAGTTGTCTCTATTTAGACATAGATATTTGTCTCTATTTACAAAAACAGCTGCTTCTGAAAATGATGTCATGGAATATTTCATTGTTTACAAGTTGGGAAACTTAATATGATGAATAGTGAAGAGAACGTATTTATTGAAAAAAAATTCTTTACATATTATGTCTTTGAATGAGTTAATAGACAATTAAATGTCAGATCAAAAATAATTGAACATTGAACATTGTGTCAGCACATGTCAAAAGGATGCGCTATCCCAGATTTCTATGAATGGTATATTTTAATATTTTTTCTTATTTAACATCTTACTACCACTTTGGAGGGGAAAGAGGGAAGAATACAATATATATTTTTTATTGAAACCAAAACATATTACTAACAGAATATTAAATGTTAGCAGTGATTTGGAATTTGTGGCTATCTTTTCACTTTAAGCCAATAGATATTAATAGTGTTGTGCACTTATTGTATCTTCCAACTGTGTTAGAAATTAATTGGTTAGATTAAACATTTTGCCAAAATGTCTTAAAAAATGTTATCATTTGTGGTTTGCCTGTTGCTAATCCATGCATAACTTTGGAAGCTGACAGTGTCTTGTTTACAGGTGCCATAGCGCATTGTTTAACAGAGCTGTCTTGTTCTGTTTTTATTGCCATGCTTCTGTGTAGTACAGAACTGAATAGGAAGCAGCGTAAGGTAATCCTCACCGTGAAAGCATGGTAACTCATTGACATTTCTGGACAATGAATATTACATCCTCAGCTGATGTAATAGACATTCAAAAGGAAGCCCAGTGAAGTTCCTATAAATATATCTTACCATTTATCCATCACACAGATATTGTGTTGCAAACTTCTGCTTATCCATAATTATATTCTGTCACAGTGTAAAACAGATTTACATTCTCCATTTGTCTGTGTCAAGACAAACATGAGTGTTCCAGGGCCTACATGAAGTGATACACTTCACCTAAAATATTATTTCCTTTATTTAGCAGGCGTCAAGGATGACAGAAGAAAGGGGGAGGCAACTATAAAAGACCCACATTTTTCAAATTTCAACAGAAAACTATCATCCTCCTCCAGTGCCCTCCTCCACAAAGATGCCAACCAAAGGGATGACACTCTTCCAACTGCCAGTGTATCAAACCCAGAACAGTGTGGGGGACCAGGTGAAAAGGGTGGGAGAACCAAACCAAATGTGACAAAGGATTGCCAGGAAAACCACTGTCCTCCAAAATTCCTCTCTCCAAGGCAGCATTTGGCCCCTGACCCTGCAACAAAGGGGCCACAAGATCTGCACGGAATAAAAACCAATGAAAAGGAGCATTCTGAGAGCTTAGCAGGAGGGAAAAGCATGCTGTTCGGAAAAGTTCCCTCTCAAAGCACTCAGGAGGCAGAGAACTGGGAAGACAGCAGGGCCAAGGGCAGAGCTGCAACGTCCTTCTCTTTGTCTGATGTCTCTGTGCTCTGTTCTGACATCCCTGATTTACATTCAACTGCCATTCTGCAGGACACTGAAATTTCCAATCTCATTGATGATGTCACCTTAACAAATGAGAATGAGTTGGGCAGTTCCATCTCAGCACTGATTGGCCAGTTTGAGGAGAGCAACCACGGGGCTAACACTGCTGGGGTTTTTCATCTCCTTAGTCCCAGTATGACATCAGGAGGTGCTCCTTTGCCTATCACATTGGGCCTACAAACATCCTTTGAACATGGTTTTTCCCAGGGGAAACCCAATGCCTCCTTTTTGTGCTCATCTCCTGAGCTAGTCAAGCTCTCTAGTGCTGAGGCCACCAAACTGGCAAATAACACAGATGCCTGTGGAATGATTGGCTCTCCCATCTTTAAACCAAAGCCAGGAAATAATGCTTCTGATAAAGCCAAGACAAGGGTCATGGAAGGTAACCTGCCTGGGTCCCTTGATGCTTCTCATGGGCAGTTTCCTAAAAGCCCCACTCATGAAGAGGACCAGGGACGAGTGATGAGCAGCCCTGCTTTTCCCACTGAGTTGGCCCTAGAAGACATAATAGCAGACCCTGCTCTCTGTATAAATTCTGCAGAGAGCAGCCTTGTGGAAATCGATGGAGAATCTGAAAACCTGTCTCTGACAAGCTGTGACTACAGGGGAGAAGGTCCAAATCCACTTGTTTCTCCACTGAAACTGCGGCACAGCCAGGAGATGGCAGAACATACCCAGAGAGGCTTGAGGAATGGCTATTGTAAAGAGACTCTCTTCCCTGCTGTCCCTGAAATAGTCAACAACATTCAAGGTGTCAAAAATCAAAGTATTTCTTGTCTAACCTATCAGGGTGCTGGCTTTGTGTATAACCATTTCTCAAGTTCAGATGCAAAAACAAACCAAATCTGTGGGCCCCAACAGCCTAGGCCTTTGGATATGCATGCCCCAACACCCACACCATCAATACATGCTCCTTTGGCTGCTTTGAAACTACCAAGTCCATGCAAATCCAAAAGTCTGGGGGACTTAACATCAGAAGACATTGCTTGCAACTTTGAAAGCAAATACCAATGTATTAGTAGGAGTTTTGTGACAAACGGCATCAGAGACAAGAGTGTGACTATGAAGACAAAGTCATTAGAACCTCTAGATGCCCTAACTGAACAGCTCCGGAAGCTGGTGTCCTTTGACCAGGAAGACAGCTGTCAAGTGCTGTATTCAAAGCAGGGTGCCAATCAGTGTCCCAGGGCGTTAGTCAGAAAGCTGTCCTCCAGGAGTCAGAGCAGGGTCCGCAACATTGCCAGCCGTGCCAAGGAGAAGCAGGAAGCTGGCAAGCAAAAAGCTGTGACCCACAGCACTAGAGGAGGGGTGGTCCTGAGAAGTAAACCGCCGGCTCCTGCTCTGGCCGTGAACCGTCACTCCACGGGCTCGTACATTGCGAGCTACCTGAGGAATATGAAAGCTGGTGGCCTGGAGGGCCGAGGCATCCCAGAGGGAGCATGTACAGCCCTTCGCTATGGCTATGTGGACCAGTTTTGTTCAGACAATTCAGTTCTGCAGACTGAGCCAAGCAGTGAAGATAAACCAGAAATTTATTTTCTTTTGAGGCTGTGAATTATATAAAGCTGCATTTTCATTGTTTACATGATATTCTATAGAATGTTAGAGTTCCTCATTGTCAGTATATATGATACTGGGCTTTGAAATGATTTTCCAATGTATTTTCAGGCTTGTATTTTGGTCCCCCTTTTACTTCGTTTGTTCTCTCAGTTTATGCATTTGTACATAGATTCTGTGACATTTCCCCCAAACCCAGGATCTCTTCTCCCCAAAGTGTTGTAAACTGTGTCGGTATGAAATGTGTGCATGCCTTTCATGTAAAACTTTTCAGCAGTTTGGGTCACAGCGTGCGTATGTTGCACAAAATGCCCTTTCCTATGTCCTCGGATCACAGCCACCGAGGCTGTCATTGTTAGCCACCGAGTGTTGAGCTGATTATGATTAGATTTTACAAACAATAAAGGGATGGATTCTTTATTGGAAGCTACATTCTCCTTTTGAATTGGGAGACCTAGATTCAATTATAGAATCCATTTAAAATAAGTGTTTTAAATGATGACCTGGCCCTATATGATTTTCATCCCTCACCCAAAGTGGGAATTCCAAAAAGATGGAGAGTGTCTCTCCAACCCCCCAAGTCCCTTTTAGAATAGGCTGTGATGAAGAAAGTGAACTTCTGTATATAAGGACAAAATAGTTTGTTTTGCATAAATTTTGTTGCATATTTTTGCAATGGCTTTGTATGTAACAAGAGTCCAGTTGGCAAACTATCTGTCATACTTTTGGAGTAGCTGATATTACAGATCGAAAGTAATGGCTTTCAAAATGTGAGAATTTCAGATGGGCATGGTGGCCTTTAATTCTAGCAGAGGCAGGTGGATCTCTGAATTTGAGGCCAGCCTGATCTATACAGTAAGACCCTATCTCAAACAACAACAGCAACAACAACAAAAATAGTGAGAGACTTACATTAGACTTAAAACTCAGAGAGCAGTACAAACAGAAAATTTCCCCAAGACTTTCAAGAAAAAGAGTATTTTCTCATAATCCAAGTGAATAGATAATTAAAAAAAAAACAACTTTTCCCTTTAGGGAACCAAGTAACTATATTTTAGTACTGACATATATTATTTTCATTGTGAATCCATTTTTTATTGCATGTTCAGGTGTCATTTGCTTTTTGTACCATGAATTACAATGATGTTCTTCCTGGACTTCATAAAATATAATTAAATCAGATTTTTGAACACTTGGTGATTTTATTTATAAAACAGAACCAAACAAAACCACAGCTGGAGTTTGTATGTTAATTGATGAGTGAGGGACCAGGAGCGCCTGGATATGTCTTTCTTTCTATTTGCTTGTAGCAGAATTGGGAAATTTCATTGTCGGGGATGGTTATGCAGCAGTTTATGCCTGTGGATATTTTCATTATATTGAAGAACATACTTGTTTTTAGTTTTTAATTTTTAGGTATTTTTATGTATGTGAGTGTTTTGCTTGCATGTATGTATAGCATGTGTGTAGAACATGTATGTGTGCAGCATGTGTGTGGCTGGTGCCTGAGGAGGTCAGAAGGGGGCTGTGGATCCTTTGGAACTGGAATTCCGGACAGTTGTGAGCTGCCATATGCAGGTGCTGGGAGCAGAACCTCGGTTCTTGGCAAGAGCAACAAGCACTCTTAACCACTGAACCGTCTCTCCAGCCCCATCGTTACACTGAAGAGCATATTTGTAAGATAACTTAAACAGATAGTTTTGTGCGCTTAGTATGGATTTGCAAGTTTAAAAATAATTCTTGGTAATCAGTCCAGTGGTGGTGGTTGTAGTAGGTGGTTAGGGACAAACATGGGGGAAAATGAGATGCTCTGTTTGGCAAGTCTGTGTGTGTGCTCACACACACATATACACACACATAAACTTGTGTGCATACACCCATAGGTTTGTGGCATGGAGAAGGGAGAAATCAGTCCCTGCTTCTCTTAGTACCAACTCTTAGCTTTTATCCAAATGCTGGGAGTCATCTTTTTTTCATAAACACTGGAAATTTGTTGGACACAGGAGTATTGAGATGAAAGGGACCAAACCCCATTTGTATGCCCTTAATGAGCTTGAAGTCTTTCTGTCTTGGTGCCTTTGAATCTCTAATGTTCTATCTTTAGACCTTGAGTTCTTATTATTTTTATCTTAGAAGCAGTTGATGTAACACAGAGATTTTGAAATTAAATTGCTATCGATAGACTTTAGCTGCTTTTTATGATTTAACGAACCTTTAAAAGTTAAAATAGGAAAGAAAAATTGTGTGTCTAAGTCATAATGTGAATGTTTTGGGCCAGGAGCTAGGTGATATAGGAGTCTTTTTGGTGCCCATGTAGTTGGCCATGCTGTAGTCTTACAAACAGACAGAACACAGGAAAAGAAGAAAAACCAGTTTAATGACAGTCATTTGAGAGTTGTGTAATAACCAAGAGGAGGCAATAAAGCTTTATTTTAATAAAGGCATTTGATGTTCAGATGTGGCTCATTAAGATTTCACCTGTTCAGAGGCTGGCTATGGGACTAGCTCAGTCCCAAGGAAATCACACAAGGGAACTCTCAATCACGATATTAACAGGCTTTCCAATGCTCAATGTGTAGAGAACTGCTAGTCTCTGCAAGTCTGATTTAGGCCAGACCCTGTGGAGATTCCTCACAGCTTTCTCCCTAGAGGCTGCACTGATGTTCCAAGTTTGAGTGGACTGAAAAAGCTGTTTGTAAAAGTGACAACATCTTCAGAGGGCAGAAGGAAAGTTGCTTAACATCAGTCTGCTCAAGCAACTTTTCCCACTTAAAACCCTTCATCTGCTCCCATCACAAACTATGGTTCTATAACTTTGCGTAGAATTTTGAGCAGTTCTAAAATTATCAAGCTTCCAATGTTCTACAGAACCTTAGATTCCATTGCTTTGTGGTGTTGATATACTCACACCTGTTTCTTCCAGTAACCACGCTTGTGCCCTTTTCCTAGCTTAGAAGCCAGCATGTATGTGAAATCAGTAAAGCTTTGATGAATTGGTGAATGAAAAGCTTAACAGAAATGTGGAAGGAAATAGCACACCTGATACCTGTCTGTTGTCTCAGAAGATGCACAGGGCCTTGCCCCAGACGCCTCTGTGTGGTTATGACCATTGATATTTCTGCATGTTGGTTACTATCTTTCTGTTCCTATCCAGTTGATCTTTTTGTCCCCTTCTAATTTAGTGACTACCTAGTAACAGTCACTTGTTGTCAAGTAACTGACATCAGGCAGCACTCCGCAGCCCAGAAAGTTTTACATTTGAGCCATCTTACGTGGTCACAATTGTCTTGTGAAGAGATGATGGTTTGCCCAGTTCATAAACTCAAAAAGTGAATCCCATTTTGTGATTAGCTCAAGGTCCTAGTGGGATAGGGAAGAAGCTGAGTAGGAGTATTCCATCTCTTACATTAGCCTTCTTCCCCTATACACTGTAGGCTTAGATTTTTTTCACCAAACCTAATTTAATTAAGGGTTCTTAATCACATTTACCTCTCTTCTAACCCCCCACAACCTGAAGTTGGAGATTAGTAGGGAAAAGGGATGTAGACCGCTTTTATGTACTTCCTGCTGAACAGGATTGATGGGTCATTAGGGGATTACCAGACTCAGTTGTCAGAATTTCAGCAATCCAGGCCAAATGCCAACACGAAGCAGGGAAAGCAGAAAGACTCAGTTGGCTTGCCTGGAGACGCTCTCTGAAATGTTTCACTCTGGAACGTTCCTCTCTGTAAAGCCAAGTGTCAAAGCACAAAGATCAGCACAGCGATGTTGATCCAAAGAGTATGTCTCACTGTGAGTGGGCCTCTATAGATCTACTCACCTCAGAGTCCACCCACGGATGTTCTCAGCTTGCCAAAGTCACGCCCCTCACACATGAGGGGTCACAGCAAAACCTCATGTGCCCAGGTTGCAGCAAAGCACATGAAAAAGTTCAGTCTTCAAAGAAACCAGAAATTTCCACTTCAACACACATTGCCCTTTCAAGAGACTTTAATCAACATATAGTTAAGAACCACGCTAGGGCAGGTTCTTCTTTTCTGTTATGAGGATGAAGACTGTCTTTATGGAGCCACAAGCTGGTGGGGGTGAGAAGATGGATTGGTGCTGTTTCATGTCTACACAACTATCAGTCGCACATATTGGAGTTAAAAATATAGGAAGACAATTTAATAGTATTCTTCATGTATGAATTAGAATTGTTTAACATTTTTTTCCTTGTGTGTGTGCATGACACAGTGCCTTTGCAGAAGTTAGAGGACACGTTTGTGTAATGAATTCTCTCCTTCCAGGTTTATGTGAGTTTCAGTGATCCAGGCTTGCAAGGCAATCATCTTTACTCTCTGAGCCATCTTACCAGCCCATGCGTTGTTTTTAAAAACAAAAACAGCTAAAAATAATAATCTATGCCATTGAAAAAAAATACCTAGCAAAATCCAGCCTGCTAAAATAATGAGGATTGAGGAAAATTCCTAGGGAAGTGAGAATGAGGGGAATATAGGACGAGGCAGGGAAGGGAGAGAAAATACAAGGGTGTACATTACTGAGATGACCAATGCTTTACAAGGTCAGCCAGCTGTGGGGGTTATAGGATGTCTTGAAGGATGTCCCATAAAAGCCCCTAAGAGCGGCTTGCAGTAGGGAAGGAAGGTGGAAGTTCATGTCACTATGTCCTTCCATCCAGTTTCTGTGGAGCTGATGAGGCATTAACTTGCATGATTCTAGCTCGTGCTTTGGCAGCCCCTGCAGAGCTGGAACCCCTTCAGAGCACTGCACTCCACCTCAGCTGGAGCTGCAAATCGAGACAGCTCAATAATGGCCATGACAATGGAAGCTGCAGTAGTTTAGCCTCAGCAGCTGTGGGAACAAGTAACCAGCCAAAAGCCATGCAGACACTTGACTTTGAGAGGGATGGGATGAAAAGAGCTAGTGTGATCCACACGTGGGGTTTATTGTAGCCCTTTCATCAGGCTGATTTTCTTATCCTAGATCTCACAGGAGAACAAGAGACCTTCAGTACCTCAAGAAAAGAGGTAGGTGGCCAGTTCTTCCATACTGAAGGGTCATCAGTTTCATCCATTAAGATCAGCAAACTGAGCTGTTATCCTCACTGCTGCAGCAGATCCACAGCCATAGCTAATGCCTTTCTCTTGTCACTTATTTGGCTTCCCACACTTTCACTGAATACTTCCTATGTTGTCTGGTGGATTGACTCAGCCCCTTATCCTTGATATGTATGTTCTGTACCATAGACTGACCTGTGATGCTCCTCAAAAGCTTGTGTATGAAAAGCTTCGTCTTTAGCCTATGGAACTATTAAGAGAAGGTTGAAAAAAAGTACTTAGGAAGTGGGGCCTATTGGAAGGAAGTTAGTTCATGCCTATTGGAAGTTAGTTCATGCCTTCTTCTGACACACTCTATTGTTTGACACAGGCTCTCTCACCGTTGGCCACACGTTGGCTGGTTAGCAAGCCCTAGCAAACCTACTGTTTTTTTCTTCCGGCACTGGGATAAAAGGTGTGCATTTCAGAGGTTGGCGTTCTCTGTAACTTGGGATGAGAGCATAGGTCTTCATATTGCACAGCAAGCACTTTGCTTATCCAGCTGAGCCATCTGCCCAACCTATGCTTCTTAAGCATTTCCAAGTGGTTCCACACTCATCGCAGGCAGCTGTAGTTGCAGAGCTATGTGGTGTGCCATAGGCTTCTCTGTATAGGATATATCCATGCATGATCCAGACCATGACTCCCTGAGAGTTTCACTGATGCTGCAGACCCCTTAATTATCAGGCACTCCTTATATACCTACTGACAATCTTATCTGGCCATTTGAGACTAGTTGTCTGTATTGAATCCACCTAGAAAGATGTCAGTCAATATAGAAGATTACTAAAGTGGTGCACCATGGCATATAAAGATGGCTGCGTCCATTACAAATGTCTTCTTCCAGGCAGTGGGAAAATAAACAGATCCCAGACAGCGCAGCAGTGAGGGTTACTGTGTGTCTTGTATATGAAAAGATAGGATTGGGCGAAATAATAGGGATGAATCAAGTGCCAGAGGTTGAGTTGGTTTGCTACAATAAAACTCTAATAACTTCTGGCAAAGAATTCATAATTGGAGTATTCTTGTTAAGTTCTCAGCAGTTCACTGATATCTACCATAAGCTATATGTTTTATATGGAAAGGCTAGGTGGATGAATGGCATGGGAGATGTAGGAATTAT